TTCGACGAATTCGCCGAGACAGAAATACACACTGACGCAAGCAACGTAGGTCTTGGCACCGTTTTTGTGCAGATAAGCTGACGGACTTGAAAGGGTCATTAGTTACGCCAGCCGATCGCTATCCAAAGCAGAAGCCAATTATTCCACAACAGAAAAGGAGTGCCTCGCCATCATCTGGGCTACGTCGAAATTTCGTCCCTACCTCTACGGCAGGCCCTTCAAAGTCGTGAGCGACCACCACGCCTTGTGTTGGCTAGCCACCTTGAAGGACCCTTCAGGTCGCCTCGCACGATGGAGCCTGAGACTTCAAGAATATGACATTACCGTCATTTACAAGTCCGGCAAGAAACACTCCGTTGCCGACTGTCTCTCTCGTGCGCCTGTCGACCAAACGACCCAACAACCCGGATGACGACTACTTCTTGGGAATGATAACTGCCGACGACTTCACTGAACGACAGCGCGCCGACCCGGAACTTAAAGCCCTAATAGAATACCTCGAAGGCAGGACCGCCGAAGTCCCGAAGGTATTCAAGCGCGCACTTGCGTCGTTCTTCCTGCAAAACAGTATTCTACAAAAGAAAAACTTTTCACCACTTCGAGTTAAGTACCTCCTTGTGGTGCCTTCAGCTCTGCGACCAGAACTCCTGCAGGCCCTGCATGACGATCCGACGGCAGGACACCTCGGTGTTTCTCGCACGCTGGTGAGGATACAAGAAAGGTACTACTGGCCACGTCTTACCACCGACGTCACTCGTTATGTGAGGACATGCCGGGACTGTCAGCGACGCAAGACACCGCCGACAAAGCCAGTGGGACTTCTGCAGCCAATTGAACCACCCTGCCAACCTTTCCAGCAGAATGGTATGGACCTACTTGGGCCGTTCCCGACGTCGGATTTCGGAAACAAGGGGATCGTGGTAACTACCGACTACCATACCTCACCCGCTACTCCGAGACAAAAGCCCTTCCCAAGGGCAGTGTATCCAAGGTAGCTAAGTTCTTCGTCGAAAATATCGTCATACATCACGGCGCCCCGGAGGTTCTTATCACCGACAGAGAAACGGCATTTACTGCCGACTTAAATCAAGCGATCTTGGCATACAGCCAGACAAACCACCGCCTGACGACAGCGTACCACCCACAGACCAACGGCCTCACCGAGCGGCTTAACAAGACGATCGCCGACATGCTGGCAATGTACGTCGATGTCGAACACAAGACGTGGGACGCCATTCTTCTGTACGTGACCTTCGCATACAACACGGCGGTGCAGGAGACGACGCAGATATCTCCATACAAATTGGTCTACGGAACGAGCCCGGCAACGACGCGCGATGCCATGTTACCCAACGTCCCCGACAAAGAAAACCTCGATGTGAGTGAGTACCTTCAGCGCGCCGAAGAAGCCCGACAACTCGCGCGTCTCCGTATCAAGAATCAACGGACGACCGACAGCCGCCCTTACAATCTTCGATGACGCTTCGTGTAATACCAGCCCGGTGAACGTGTTTGGGTGTGGACGCCGATACGCCGACGTGGACTAAGTGAAAAGCTTCTGCGACGGTACTTCGGACCGTACAGGGTGGTTAGACGTCTCGGCCCACTTGATTACGAGGTTGTCCCCGACGGTATCACGACCTCTCAACGACGTTGATCGCGACCTGAAGTCGTCCATGTCGCGCACCTCAAGCCGTTTCATGCGCGTTAACAAACTGAAACAGTGTTTCTTTGTATTATTTTATCGTAATTTATTCATTGTACTTTCTAGCATTATTGTTGTACCTTCATCTTTAGTTAAAGCATCGGGACGATGCCTTTTCCAGAGGGGGGCAATGTCACGTTCCATTTCCCAAGTTTTGTTATCGTCCCAAAACACTACACAATTCTCAGCGCAAACCGCGCCTGCAGTTTTCAAGAAGCTTCCGGACTGTAGTAGATCATTTCGAGAAGATCACGCCCACTCTGCGAACTGTACAGATTATTCTGGAACCTACGCCACCGCCAGCGATAACGCTAGAACGTTCGACGGCAAGAGTATAAATGCCGACGCGCTTCGCCGCTTGTCAGTAGTTGATCCACGGCCGACGCTCCGTTCGCCGCTATCAGTCCAAGACTGCTACTGTAATCGGACTTTCCGTTTACCGGACACAGGTTCGCCCAAATAAACAGTTAAATTCCAACACAAAGTCTCCTGTCTTCGACCACGTCACAGCCCCGTGACAATATATATATATATATATATATATATATATTATATATATATATATATATATATATATATATATATATATATAGTGTGTGTGTGTGTGTGTGTGTGTGTGTGTGTGTGTGTGTGTGTGTGTGTGTGTGTGTGTGTGTTAGAATCTTTGAGAATAGTGCAGTATAGGAAACAATGAAATATTTATTTCATCCTAACAGTTTCACATGGTGGACCAGCCTTATTCGGAGGATCTAAGCGAAGTGATACAAGTTCCCGTAGCAGAGGGCCACCCTCACAGTTTGGAGACCCCCAAAGCCGTTTTGGGGGTCTCTAAATATATATATATATATATATATATATATATATATATATATATGTGATAATTATTTCAGTAATTGGGAAGAGAAGAGACACAACCACAACTTAGTGGTTTCCATAATTAGGCAACCGCTAAGGTGTGCCTTACATATATATATAATATATATATATATATATATATATATATATATATATATATATATATATATATATATATATATATATATATATGGGATATGGCGCAACGGAGCGTTGTCAACATGGATAAATATATTTATTTCCCAACAGTTTCGGGAGGGGTCCTATCTTCGTGAGGGGATGAGTTACACTAACATGGACGTTCGAATGGTTGCTGCCGCATCCCTCTCGCCTTGAAAGATGTTTGCGAGAGTGAGAAAGAACTGAGAAAAGAAAAAAGAAGAAAAAGAAGGAAAAAGAACGAAAAACCGCTGTGATCGCTGAGGACACACACACACACACAGACACACACACACACAGACACACACACACACACACACACACACACACACACACACACACACACACACACACACACACACACACACACATATAAATATATATGACGTATGAGAGGCCAGCTTATCACTTAGTCCTAGTTCATCGGCTTCAACGGCGTCCAAACGCGAACCTATGCAGCCTGAGCAGCAGCGCAAATGACATATGCCATGAGCTGAACAGTAGGAGTGCTGTAATGTTCGTGCCTGTTCCATAGAATAAAAACTGTCAGAATTGGGTCATCTTGTGAAAAAAAAAATGGCCACGTATCTGCATTTTACAATGCAAATGTCGTCGAAAGACGATAGTCTTGCGTCTGGAGCGAGTGAACAAAACGTTTGTTTTATGTTGTGCGCAAGAAAATCGGTGAATCATATTCTGGAGGCGCTGCGTTAGAGTGACTCGAGTGTGCAGTGGAGGCGAATGAGGGCGTCACGTCACGCGTTTATGTCCCCAGATTCTAGGGACGCGTGAGACATGATCTGGCAGTTATCTTGGAAAACAAAGCACGCGACGTGCGCGCCCGTCTCGGAGGTGGAAGGTGTAGAATGCAAGGCGACGGGTAGGTGCCACCACCATGTCGTTTTAGCAAAGCGTTGGAAACACTCACCTTTTCGTGAAAGCGTTGCATGGTCAGCGCAGCGTGATAAATGCTGTGGTTCCTTAGAATTACTTATGTATGCCTTTTCTAGTGAAAATACACGCATACAGAATATTGACGTGTTGTTAAGGTGCCTCAGATATGCGCAATAATAGCTTTTTAGTTGACAATTGCACAAGTGTATGAACGCTGAATTTTGAGCAATATTGGTGGGTGCTGCGGATGGGGTCGGCTGCTCGAGGCATCGTTTGGTGCCGTTTAGGGTACCGTTAAGGGCGGACAGACAGACAGACAGACAGACAGACAGACAGACAGACAGACAGACAGACAGACAGACAGACGGACGGACGGACGGACGGACGGACGGACGGACGGACGGACAGACGGACGGACAGACGGACGGACAGACGAACGGACAGACGGACAGACGAACAGGCCAAAGTTTTTGCATCGAAGGTCCCCAAGAAACACTTTCGCCTCTAAAATTAGAAAACAAAACCCGGTGAACTTTGGTTCAATATCGATAAATGCGGAAAAATTTTCATGTTTACTAAAAACCGTATAAAAAATATAAAATGCTTGTTAATGAAGGTACCAGTAAATAAAATCTGGCTTGCTCCGCCATGACGTCAGGAGTCTGAACACCTGTGATACGTGTGCCCGAACATTTGACGATAATTATAGCGCGAGAACAAAATGACGACAAAGAGACACGAAGGACACGAGCGCTGTTCTCGCGCTATAACTATCGACATGTCATACCAACTAGCCGAAGCTGCCACACTTTCCGAAGACTTGTTTCCTTGCGCAAACATCGATGTTCAAACTGTAATCTCTTGCGCCCTTGATGTCAGTGACCATGGTGTCCAATTAGCAGAACAACTTCACTTTCATTTTATTTTACACAATTTATATCATCGTTATTGAAGCCATCTTCAATACAAAACTTTAAGAAATGTGCAAGAACGCGGTCGCAAGCAAAGTGAATGACCTTCAACGGCCGCACGATTGTAAGCGAAATGAAATCACGTTTTGATGAAGAAAAAAAAAACTCCAATTCTGTTGACATTCAACGCGTACAATGGTACATTCCTTCACCAAACTTGCATGCATGTATCAATTTATTGTTGTGCAGTTCCTGATGCTATTCTGTCAAAGTTATGCTACCCACATTTCAGTTTGAAAGGCGCCAGTGCTGGCGCGCATTCACGGCAGTGACTGCGCGGCTCTGCTTAGCCAATAACATCGACCCATATTTGTGACGACATGGTGACGACAGTTGTATTGACAATATAAAAATACATACAACAAAAAAAAAGTGCGAGAGTGAAGTGCAATAACGTTTATTGTTTGACACGGAATGCATTTAAATTAGATTCCTAAAAAGACAACCACATCACTCGCGAGTGTGAAGCATTGTGAAATATAATGGGCGGCATGGCTGTAACTGTCCGGGGCGGCTAGTGCATACTTGTTGGTGGGCTTAATTTTGACAATTTTCCTCGAAGAACTCTTATTCGAAGACTGTGAATAATGGTATGGCAATGCGAATAGACTGGTACGTATTAGCACATATCTTTTATTTGAGCTTTCAGTTATGCTTATATTAAAGTACATTTATATCACATCTACGCGAGAAGATGCGGCGAAGCTAAACTTGAAAGTTTCTGTAGTGAAAGAGAAACATCTGTGGTGCTCCTTTTATTTACAGAAGCTGCTGCTGCTGCAAATAATGCATATCTGTTCATTGAAGGTAAATTCGACTACTTTTTGCGAGGACTATGTAATCGATGATGTGCCGACTAACGTGCGTACGTGGTCACAATCGCTCGTGGAACCGTGCACCTAGTATGGAGCAGTGGGAGGCACACCTCGCTAGCTCGGACCCAGGAGTGCAGCTCGCACTACTGGATCAAGTCCGGCGGGCGGCTAAGGCCAGTGGAGCCCTGGACGTAGGGCCCCAACCATAAAGGCTCTAAAACGCCCCTCTCCCTTTCCCCTTCAATAAAGTTTTACTCTCTCTCTGACTGTACTTTAAAAATTCTCTACCCAGGTTCACAAGCACCCAAAATACTACACTAAAGAAAACTATCCCATACGTGCTGTAGGTGGAGTAAGTAAGGTATTGGAAAAACATGTGATACAGCGTGTAACCAGGTAGGCGTTGTGAGCGCTACTTGAAAACCGTTTCGAACTTCCGTACTAGTTGCCTGCTTATGAGCTTTCCAGGCTGCATAATTTCCTCGTTGAGTCTTGTTAGACGCAACTTCGACGTATTTGAGCCGATGAATTGTAAGTTGTATCACTGTTGTGAATATCTAAGACGTTTTACATTGACTCCCCCTAATATCTCTGGAAGCTCGTGCTCAGGAACGTTAGTAGGACATTTAATAATTTAGCAGGACGTCGCTGACGGTTCTGTTTACTGCTTATTAGCACACGAACACTTATTGTGTTCAGTCAACCTCTTCCATACACCTGCTGTGTGTTCTTTCTTCTTTTTTTTTCTGCTTGCTAAGTTTGGCAAAACTTGCTTTCATTTTCGTCCATCGTGGACTTATTCAAAAGCTTTGGTGTGCATGTGTTCACCCAGCCTTCGCCACCTTACTTGAGTCCATAGAGGAGGCATAATAGTAACAGCTCAGCAAAGAGTAAAGTGGGCCATGTTAATTGGTGTTTGGTAGTACAAAACCTAATGAATGCTGGTGGTTGTTAAACCTGTGAACATACTAACAGAATAAGTATAGAATCCTCGACAGTGATCGCTGCCAAATTGTGAGAGACTGAGCAGCAGTAATTTGTTTATTTCCACTTAGAAAGAACGCTTCCACTTAGAAAGAACACATAAGTGCTGGTAAAAAAAAATGTGTGCGATAAAGTGTTTTGTAATACTTAAAAAAAATTGCAACTGTATTGGACTAACCAAGTATATGCCATACTTGAAGATTTAGCTTATCACTAGACTACCGAGTATTGAACAACAGAAAAGGTTAAATAATGCAGTCTGTGGAATCAGTATTAGGTGAAGTATTTGAATGTATAATTGGGGATTGTCAAAGTTTGTAGTGTGAGCTTGAATTTTTTGTCTGTCAACTATATTTCGCACGACTCACATGATAGCTGATGTGAATACTACCGCATGTTTTTTATGTTTGTGGGTGCTACCTGTTGCCAGGTGTATTGCAACAGACTATGGGGGGATATAGTGACGATACACACCTGTCATGTCTGCACTGCTGTATGATAATTTTAACCCGACCCTGACTGATTTATTGTTAGTGTTTTTTAAGTTGGCATTCATGTCATGCTAGGAGTGAGTTCTTTGACATTTGTAGCCTGTTTATGCCCTAAAAAGTTTGCTTGCATTTTAGGTTATGTGGATGCTCTCAGCACGTAAGCTTTAGTTGCCCACTTGTTTTCTTATTGTCAACATTTATTGTTAAGAGATTATAGTTGAGGGGAACAAGTAATTTCTAGTTGTGTCAAGATACACGACAGTTGATGAAGTTGGCATTTGGTTGCACCATGTTATCGTTCTTGTGGGGATAGTTTTTCGATTCAGTTTAGTTTCTTTATTTGTATAGAATATGCAGAGCTGCCAAAAATGAGTGGTTGGGCCCATAGTCGAAGGCCAGTTGTCGGTCATTGTGTCATTCCATTAACGATTGGGCCATTAGTGCCTTTTACCTTTTAAACATAATCGAACTGGCTACTTGACTATAAATGTCATATTTTTCTAGAACACATGAAGTAGTTTCTTTTTTATTTTTTGTGGTGGCTGAAGTTGTGAGGAGGTTTCCACTTAGATCACATAAAAGATTGTCATTGTCTGAGCCAGAGTGCATTATCGCTGTCAAAACCAGTGGCAGATCCAGAAAGGGAGTGGTGATAGCCCCCCTCCAATAAGTCTCTGTCAGCACCCCCCACCCCCTCAATTCAGTGTTCATCGTCCACCTCCTATCATCAATTAGAACTAATGAGCAAAACTACTCATTGGTTCACTAATGGTATTTATTCTACGATCGGTTTTTCTGCTAGTAAAAGCAAAAAGTCATGACCACGCCCCACTCTCCGATGTTACTTTAGGCACCACCCCCCCCCTCCCTAAAGCGGGATTCACACGAGGGAGAAATTCCCGGAGGAGAGGCAAGAATGGCACATCACGTGACGACTTCACGGGTTAGTGGGTTGACGTGACCTCCTCGCGGCTCCTTGTGGGAGGCGGGGATCGTTTTTCCGACCGGTCAAACAATCCTCATGTAGTGGGGGATGTAGCGGAAGTTCGGGTGAGTCTCTGGCCACATTGTAGCCCTCTCTCCTGTAGTGCCTGCATAACCCGGGGGCGGCTGTTCCAAAATACGCTCCTTACTTGTGTGCACCGTGATGGCGAAAATGAACAATGAAGCAACTTCTTTTCTTTTTTCTCGTGAAAGAATATCATCGCTTGTGGGACATGTCTTCCGATGACTATAGTAAAACTAACCTAAACAATGGTCTGTGGGAGACGATAGTCAAGCAGATGATGGAGCGTTACCATCTCTATGAAGAGATATTTAGTTTTGTTTTATTGTGGTCATTCTGATAACAATTGTGACATCGCCCACTTTTGTTGTTACTGCTGCTGCTACATTGCTGCTTGTTCAGCATGGTGGAGATGTCTTACTTCATAACGAAATTTTTTCAATGGGCCTCATTCTTCAAGATTAGATGCTTAAAATATAGGCAGCCGTAGAATCCGAGAGCTGTTTTTTATTTTCAGAAACATGACATACTTCACATTTTTATTTATGGGCTGCAGTGATTCAGCAGAATCTTAGGCTGAGTTCACATAGTGGAGACAAAAGTGGTATTCTATTACCTTGTGTTTCGAAATTATAATGAAATGCTTGTACAGATAATTGTCAAATATTAATAGACTAGATCCGTTCCGTTCTTGGTTGTCCTTATGAGACAAATGCTATGATAGCATAATTCCTTCATTCACAGAAAGCGAATTGATATCAAAAGATACTGAAATTCCTATCTATCAACTCAATAGTAGTATTTGACGAGTCAGAGAAGCTGTAAGCAATTTCGTAGTAAAAAAAAAAAAAGAAAAAAAAGCTGTTGTCAATGATGCTGCCCGAAATGTCGCTTTGCACGAGTTTGTTTTTGCAAAAAAGAAAAGCTTGTGGGTGCGAGTCAAACATCAAGAGCAACGCCACGTCTGCATTCAGCACAAAAAAAGACCTATAAACAAGAAAGTTTCTAAAAGCAGCAAAGCCGCAGGGGGAGGGGTGTGTGTGCAAAACCTGCACTTCCCTCAAACCACACCAGCACTTTCCTCACCCAAAAAACACGAGTACTTTTCTCCTTCTCCAGTCAAGACACAATGTGGCTTTGAACCCCCACCCCCCTCCAAGACAAAAGATTGCCAATATCTATGGCTGGGGGTCAAAGAATTCTTCAGTGCTCCTGCTCCATTATATGGTGGAGGCTCGGGCCACACTGATCTCCCCCACTGTTCCCCTCGTTCGTGTGTGAGTGAGGGACATTTGGGTGGACTTATCCTCGCCTCTTGACGTCACTAGGCTCTGCCTTTATCCCCCGTGTATTTCTCCCTCGTGGGAATCCCGCTTAAAGTGAGTGGCTGGATCTGCCCTTGCTCAGAACGAGAAGCAAACATTTTTTTTCATGTATAAGCCCCATGTTGTCACCCAAGGTCATTGAAAGTCCATTATTAATGTATAAGAAACTTTGACTGGTCAAATTGACTGCCACCCATTCCCATTTCACTTGTATATGAGCATTTGCTCACACTTTTCCATGCATTTGCTTGATAGAGCCCATGTGATTTCTTGAGCACATTCCGGCTGCGGTGGCTGCATTTCCGATGGAGGCGGAAATGTTGTAGGTCCATGTGCTCAGATTTGGGTGCACGTTAAAGAACCCTAGGTGGTCGAAATTTCCAGAACCCTCCACTACGGCGTCTCTCATAATTATATGGTGGTTTGGGGACATTAAACCCCACATATCAAATCAATTCTTGAGCAGCTACTCCCACAGCTATGGTGCTTACATAAAAAAGGTCATTCATTTAATTCACACGTGTGCTTTATTGCCACTTGTAAGTTGTAACCCCTGTAATGTCAAATCAGTGACATATGCTTAGCTAAGTTTGATACTGAGAAATTCTACTGTAAGCTAGATGCATTATTGCGAAGTAAGATTTACTGTAGTGTGGTTTTACAGGTAGCAAGCAGCTTTCCATAAACAGTTGTACATCATGCTCTTATTCTGCTACTGCCAGTTTCTATAAGTGCCTCAAAACCAATTTTGGACCAACTAAGTAATAATTAAGTATTACAATCTGTAAAATGTATCTTCTGGAACATTTCAAGTAGAAAAATTGATATGTCATTCACTGCTTTGAAACGTATCAAGGATTTGTGCCTATCACTTTTAAAAAATAGTTGGGAACAATGTGGATTCAAATAAACCTTAGCTATGGGCGTTTTAGACCCCCCTTATAAACACAGTTAGCTTGTTTTATCTGAGGTAGGGGGAGAGTGGAAAGGGTGTGCATAGACATGCGTCTAAGAAAGACAGGTTTTGACCTGACGAAGGTAAGTATTTTTGTCAAAATGTTGGTTTCTGCGACAGTATTCTTTATTTGACAATTTTTCATCAAGTGAATCGAAGGTGACATTCACAAGTGCTAATATGCACAAACACATTGTGTTTTAAAGTTCTGTGCTAAGCTCTGTGGAAGAAGTCCCAGTCTTTTGTGAAGGCTCTGGTAGATAACTATTTACCCCATGTGATTAAAGAAAATGCATTTACAAGTCCTTATTGTTCCCTTCCTTCCCACTTGATGACACTCAAAAAAAAAATATCTAAAATATAAACATCTGTATGGCATAAAACCTTTAACTACATATGGCATTGCAAAAGAAATACCTTAAATTAATTTTTATAACTAGATGTTCCCTAATGTGCTCCCAAAGTGTAATGCAGTAGCATGCTTTTCAGTGTTATCTCTATGTGGCATTGTTGCTGGGAATTGAACCTATGACTTTGAGGACTTCATGCTGAGCACCAGGGTGCTATGGTCACTTATCCAGCACATCGGGTAGTGTCACGAAAGAAGTACTTTTTAGAGTTAACTTACCGCTATGCAAAATTCTTAAATTTTTGTTCACGAAAAAAAATGATTTGGGCAGTTGCTGTCTGATCATAAAAAAGTGTGCTGTATCAGTTCAGGTTACTTCACTTTTGTTTTCTGTGTGCCATATGTTATTGCTCTAATACATTTTCACTCCATGGGAAAAAAGAAATGCATAGTAATTGAGCCATTGCTGGTCATTTTCGCATTTAAGCTTGAGTTACCATCAACATTTGTGGCTTTTTTCTTTCCTGCAGTCCATTGCGACGTAGCCGCCGTGCGGCACAGGCGGGCCCTGTGCTGCCAATGGCCATGCAGGACCGTGTGTCACCAGCAACAGATGATCGAGTACACTGCTGTGGTCGGCGCTTTTGGTTTGTGCGGGACATCTGTGGCATTATCTGTGCTGTGATGACATGGCTCTTGGTGCTGTATGCACAGTATGTGGTGGTAGGCGTTATACTCTTGCCATCACTCCATACCTACTATGGCACCTTTCACTTAATGCTCTTTGAGCTGCTGGCCTTTCTGGCTGTCTTCTCACACGTTCGCACCATGGTGACGGACCCAGTAAGTTTTGCATCCGGTCTTTCCGTCTTTGCTGGCTTCATTTTATCATTGTTCACCTATGCCCGGTCTGAGAAAGGTTCTGATTTATGAAAAAGAAGCAACACCAATTGCACTTCTACTCCTCTGTGTAATGAGGGAACCTGCTCAATGTAGAATTACCTGTAGTAAGAGACCATAGAACAGGTTTACAGTTGAGCCCCTTTGTAAGAGACATACATCAGGCAGCAGTTCTTGTCTTCTATACTATATGATGCATCTCTTATAAACAGGGTACCACATATGCATCATCTTATCAACACCGATTTCAATGTAGCTGCACTGGTGTCTTTTATACCCGTTTGTCACTTTTTTGTTGCTTACATCGGGGTCTTTTATAAAGGAGTGCGACTGTAGATGATTGTAAATTGTGTGTGGCTGAAAGTATTTCTTCACCGTAAATGGTATTATAATACATAGAGAAGTGCCCTGGTAAGGTACTTGTAGTACTGCTTCGTACATCTTGTTTTACATATTTTTGAATATGACAACCTTGTTCAAGATAAGGGAAATAAACTATAATAATCAGCTTTACTTATTATTTTATAGGTTTTCATTAGTGTGCAGTACTACTAAGTCATTATATTTTGTCAAAACAAAAGCACAAAGTTCACCTTCACAGTGCTAAATTTTCACATTAAAATTCTGCATTTTTGTGCACACATCACAGATGTGTTATAATGTCATAATTTGTTTTCTAATGCATATTGCAGGCATTTAAATGAAGGTGCTTAATTTTAAACATGCATTACTAGGTGGTCTTATTAGCAAACGTTATGCTGACTGCGACTGCACTGTATTTGGTTTTGATAGCCCCGCCGCGGTGGTCTAGTAGCTAAGGTACTTGGCTGCTGACCCACTGGTCGCGGGATTGAATCCTGGCTGCGGCGGGTGCATTTCCGATGAAGGCGGAAGTGTTGTAGGCCCGTGTGCTTAGATATGGGTGTACGTTAAAGAGCCCGAGGTGGTCGAAATTTTCGGAGCACTCCACTATGGCGTCTCTCATAATCATATGGTGGTTTGTAGATGTTGAACCCCACATATCAATCGATAGCTCTCTTTTTTAATAGTTAAATCATTTGAAATTCTAGTTACAAAGCTTTTGAGCACTTAGTAGAATAATTGCATTGTGTGACCTGTTGCTTGATGCCGTAGTGTGCACAATTTTGCCAGTGATAACATGCTAGTACAGCACTGCTTGATTGAAAGAATGTTGTAACTACAGTGGCCTTTGAAATGTGGTACTGTGTGCCTTTCCAGTGCTTAACCAAATAGGCTGTAGGCCATATTGACAACCACATGCATAATTAGGTAGTATGGCAAGACATTTAGTATAATGCCATACAGTTTAACCCCGCTACAACGAACGCCGCTTCAATGAAATTTCCGCTACAACGAAAAATTCACGGTTCCCCGTCAGCAGTCTATAGGAGTCAATGCATAAATATTGTCGCCACAAGGAACACTTTTTTTTTCTGCCGTCCCGCATCAACGAAATTTCGCGATGCAATTCCAGGCTCAGATATTTATTAATGTAATCCCAATCTTTAACATTTTGATGCATTTTCAGAACCTGAAAATGCGTCGACGCAGTCTGAAACGCCCGTTGGCACCACCAGAAACCGCCGCTGTTCAGCAAGCATAGGCGCCGTCATTGCTCGATAGCGATGGCTATGAGAATGCCCTGCCAGGCTCGGCTTTTGCCTTGCTTTTGTGCCGCAGACGATCCGAAGCTGAATCTCAGTGGCTCAGTTGTTCATGGTTTCCTTCATGCAGCTGCCGCAGCTGCTGGGTGCAACAGCAGAGCGATGCCTTTTTCGATTCCAATGCTTATCATTTTATTCGCGCTTGGCCAGTGTGGTATGTAATCAGAGTGGATGTCCTTCCCTGTCAACCAAATCAGCTAGCCGCAAGTGATGGATAATAGTAATGGCATAGAATAAGGCAAAAGTCACCGAGCTTCATCGATTTACACGTCCCAGACGGCTCCAGATGGCCCCGGACGCCGGCGCCGCATTCGTTTTTCTCGGGGACCAACTGGAAGCTCCGCCCACTGGTCCGGGATCGCTCAGACGCATGTTCGTTTTTCGCGTGCCTGGCGGCCTGCAGGCGGCCCGGGACCGTCCGAACAATTTCTTCCGGGCAGCTGGCAGAGGACAGTGTGGTGCGCATGCCGTGCGGCCATCTTAAGTTAGACACGGGAGATTTTCGATGCGCTCTTGCTCTCTCTTTGCTTTTCTGTCCGCTTCTCGCATGTTTCCGGATTTCACATTGTTAGCGCACCCAGTTCTTGTCATAATTGTTCTAAGCCACGTCGAGCATGGGCGTATTCCCGAAGGTCGGGCTAACATGCGTTATACTCACTAAGAGAAACAGTGGTGGAACGACCCTGCCGGTCTACGATGCGTGCGGGCTCAACTAGTTCACTTACAGTAAGTTGCATCACAATAGAAATAGGTATAATTCATTACCTAACTGCTGTTTAGGTTGCAAATGGGTCAGTGTTGTGGCCTGTGTCACAGCTATGGAGGGAGCAGATGGCATAGCCTGGCATAGCAGACGCCACAACGGATGCAGTCAGCATCAAGCGCGCAGATGGCCCGAGGCCGCTCGAGCTGGCTCGGGACTCTTAGATCACGTGCATGTGACGTAGCCACCTCTGAGCCGAGGCGTCCGCGGACCGTCCGCGAGTGATCCGGGACTTGGTAAATCGACGAAGCTCACCGCTCCACTATACCCTGCCTCCATCTCGGCGTTATCGGATTCACTTTGACGATGGACAGCTGCTGGTGTTAACTTGTTAACTGTTTGGAACGTTCAGGAAAGCGGTTCTAGGCATTGTTTCAGCATAGTTTTCACCATGGCCTCGCTATGCATGATTGTGAATCGCGTCGTGACGCTGCTGGGAAAGAATAGAAAGCAGTGGACACTTTTTTAATTTTAAGAATAAACATTCCTTTTTTTTTGCGAGCACAGATCAGCTATATTTTTTTCAATTTCACTGCAACGAAATTCTCGCTTCAACGAAATATTTTTTGCGCCCCGTCAGTTTCGTTGTAACGGGGTTCAACTGTATAACATTATAGTTGAGGAGGAGGAATAAATGAGGAAGGACAGGGAGGTTAACACATTATAGTTGACATGACAATTATTTAAAACATCTGGTTGGAGCTATCTTTCCATTGAATTTAAAGGAGCACTTACATTAAATTTCAAGATCGTGTGGTGCCCATCATTCGATCGCTTGGTATGAATAGGTGTTCTTGGGCAAATTCGAAGGGCATCCGTTGCGTGAAAGTTATTTTAATTCGATGTCAGCTAAGGAGAAAAAACGAAAAATAGACTGCCCTGCGACATCGACACTAGTGGAACGTGTTCGGTGTGACACATTCCACAAATGCCATCCTGAGTGACGATGCCCTAGTAGGGATGACGTGTACGATCCAATTGTTCTGATTGTGGTGCTGACTGGCGCCAAAGCGCAGAGACGCACTCACTCGTCGTGTCTGCTCTTCGTAGCACAGGTTTGGATGATTTCATGAAATTATCAAGATCAAAACCACCTTTAAAACAATGGCGAAAGAAAATAGCATGATTAAACGTGTGCTTGTCGGTCAGCATGTCGGGGAATCGTTGTGAGTTGCAGGTCAGTTGCACTCGTCCAGTTCAAAGCACGGTGAAAAGCGCAGTGAGGGTGCCTCGCATATCACGTATGTGTTACACATCAACACGACTACAAGCTATCAAAAGTAGAACAGCGTGTAGTCAGATATCATCGCTAACAAGTAACATGCAGGTATCGTTGAATTTTAGTTCATCTGTAGACTTTGTGTCCACGTAAAAGTGGTAATACCGTGTTTACCGTGAGAGGCTGGATGGTTCGGGCCATCTGGATGTGCAAAAAAGAACCTGGCAAGCAGAAAACGTATTCTATTTCTCCGCTGATGCTCATTCGCGATAGCTATATTGCATTGACCCCTCTGTGTATACCTGAATTCTTTGCATGCCAAAACCCACTAATATAGCTTACCGAGACACACGAGCAAACATGGCTGAAGCGTGCATCCTCGGGCACCTCTGCAGCGCTGCTTGGAACTGCGTCCATTTTGGAATCACTGTTCTGCAAAAGGTCGATCGAAACAAAAATAGTTCGCGATGTCGCGAATCGCGGTTATTCCAAGCTCCAGACTATCATATTGAAACCGAGTCGACACTTTGTACGGTGACAACAGCAATGCAGGTGACAAGGCATGACTGAATACGTCCGCCTAGCAGACGAAATGTTTGCGGAGCAGCTGAGCCTGCCATCATCTTTTCTGTGGAAAAGTGGTCAGGTGTGGGGTGATCTTGAGGTGACCGCGAGGTAGCGCCACTGCTGGTGCTCCCAGTGCTAAAAATGGCGGGATTGCCGACTGTTTTAAATAATGCTAGATACCAGAGATATAAATCAATAAAAAGGGATAATTATTCATCTCTCAGTTGCGTTTTAGATCGCGAATCGCTGCTACGGGATATATAGCTAATCACTGACGCAAAAATCTTGGCATGGGTAAATTTGATGTCGGTGCTTCTTTAAGCCTTTAGTTTAGGATGAATAGGATGTTCAGCACCCACTTTAGTTTCATAGAGCTTGCCTTTACATGCTTTAAAAAGCAAAATATATCGATGGAGCTCCTAGATGCCATGTTCACTCATATTCTAAGCTCTAAATGTTTGTTGGAGTATTCTCTCTAAGATGGGAGGCAACCTTGATTTGAAGCCTCTGTACACATCAGCTACTTCAGAGCATTTTTAGTGCATTTTTGAATGCTATGATGTGACACCTGGTTTTAATTTTCGATAGCTGCCACTGCTGGGGTCTAACCATTCACGCAAGTGTTTTTCAGAACTGTGTGATAAAAAATTGCCTGCACTCTTAACTTTAACGTTCTGGTGCAGTTACTTGCTTCCAGATCTCTATTTACTAATTGATTTCTGTAGTGTCTGCTTATGCCCTGGTATTATTTGCAATCCAGGTGGCATCTCAATTCGTGCTATTCCTTCAGAGTCCCTAAAGAAGGCTGCAGTTATTCCAAATAGATAAAATAAGTGGCACAAAAGAAGTCTATGTTATGACAGTGCCTTTTGTATATGAAGTATTTTAGGTCAGTCATAATGCCTATGCACATCATTATCAGAACTCATTTTGTTCTTGGCTTATGTTGTCTGGTCAGCTTGTATAGAAGAGAAACTTTGTTCTTGATTGGGGAGTGGTACATTATTGTAGCTTCTGTGAACTTGCTTCTTTAGTTTCATTGTTATTTTGATAGATGCTGAAATAGAATGTATGCTGTGTATTGTAATGGTTTATTGACTTTATTCTTACCTTGTTTTTTGCTGTGTCCTTGTTTTATGGCATGTAGGCTGCTGCTATTGTTGAAATGGGCCACTTGGTTTGACAGTTGATAGAAAAGAAGAGAAAATGAAATGGATTGTCGCAAAGTAAAGCCTCCATTTTTTTGTCACCTTCCCAAGAGAAGTTGTTCTGGTCATGTCAGTGTAAACTGAACAAGTTTCCGTTTCACTCGTATAAATTTGCTTATTCAAAGATTGACTGTGCAGGGCGCAGTGCCTCGGGGCACAGCCACGCGTGAGGCAGTGGAGCAATTGGGCCTGAGAGAAGGTCGGCTAGTTTACAAATGTCCCAAGTGCAGCTGCCTTAAGCCTGAGCGAGCTCATCATTGCAGCGTGTGCCAGCGATGCATCCGCAAGATGGACCACCATTGCCCTTGGGTGAACAACTGCATTGGCGAGAACAACCAAAAGTTCTTCGTCCTCTTCACTGTAAGCACTCGCCTCTGTAGCAAGCCAGTCAGCACTTACTGGCTACCAAAGAAAGAATTGAGCAGTTTTCAGAAGAGCTAAATTCTTTGCATAAATATGTGTCTGCAGTTTGGCAGTCTGCAGAAAAAAAGTTCCTTAGACAGAATGTCCTGGTGACTCTTTTCTTTAAAATGTGCCTATTCGTGCTGTGTTTATGTGCTATTAATATTATTTCCAGGTATCTTTGCTTGAAAGATATGCTAGGTGTTCATTAAGTTGAAGCATATATGTTTTGTGAGCCGAAATACAAGAGAAATGTTAATTTCTTAGAAAGCTTATAAGTGTGCTTATGTGAACCTTCAAAAATGCACCCCAACTTGCTAAATACAGCTTTTTAACTCGATATTTTTACCCTCATTTATTGCTGTAGAAGTTAGTCAATTTATCTTGCCTCATTAAGCAGTTGAACAGAACACAAAATATACTGCAACCTACTCCATGCTGTAGTCAGCTACATGCATTTGGTGAAATCATCTTAGAGTGCATCGGCATATCTTTAGACTCTAATTAAAGTTAGTTGGTGAACCCTATATGGGGATGTTTGAGAGTTATAGATTTGCTCTGGCTGTGTTCAAACGAGATTAAACTCTTCTCCAAGCTTTTGCAAGAGATTGGTCTGAAATTGATGGCATGCTCTTGTGGAAGTGAAAACCTCACATGACATGAAGGATTTCTTATAATATGCTAATGAAACACTATTGTATAGGAGGATAATGGAAAATATAGCCTCGTGTGAGAAAGCATAAAGCGTAACTCAATGTTAGTTAAACATAATAATAGTAAAAAAACATGTACTCATAAGAATGGGCTGACATTCGAAGCATCACTAAAACTGCATTCGGAGCATGAAATTAGACAAGTATTTAGTGGTTTTGTTTTTACAATTGTCATTTATATATTACATAATCAAGCTGTGGAAAACTCAGTTTGTTTTGTTCGACTTGGGAACTGTGAGAAGCCTTAGAGGTCATATGTAACACCTTTTTGTTGAAATTTTGTTAATTTGTGCTGCTCAATTTTCTGAGAATTTCGAAATAGGGGCCCAGAAGTATGAGAGTCATAGGCATGTGTATGATTTACAGGGGGGGAGGGGGCCGAGTGTGGCTACCTCCCTTCGACTGACCCCCCCCCCCCCCCCCTAAGAGTAGCCCTGCACACGTCTATGATGGGAGAAGCAATTATTTCATACTGGACATGGCAGTGGTTATGGTGCTGGAAGACAGTTGAGCAAACTCATTGATTTACTTTGGCATGATAAGAAAAGGCTTACTAACTGCTTGGTACACTTCCTGCAGTACCAGCATAGCTGAGCAACGTTTGTATCATCTTTTAAGTCAGTTTGTTTGATGTGCAGATAATTTTTGTTTTTCTGTTGCAGTTGTACATAGCAGTGATCTCCTGCCACGCATTTTTCCTGGCAGTCAACCATTTTGTCGGCTGCATCAACAGTGAATGGAGCAGTGAGTTATCTTCATGTTTTCATGTTTCAAAAAAAAAAGTAATTAACTCTTGACAACCTTTTGTGAGAGCAGAGTCAAAGCTACGGGGCAGAGCTTGTGTGCATGTGTTAATGTACCAAGCAGTCTCTTTTCTCACCACGGTGGTGTAGTGGTTATAGTGCTCAACTGCTGAAGGGAGGGTCAGGGAATTGAATTCTGGCTATGGCAACTACATTTTCTTGGAGGCAAAATGTTTGAGGTCTGTGTGCTTAGATTTAGATTTATGTTAAAAAAAAACATCAAGAGGATCAAATTTATGGAGCCCTTAATTACGGCACGCCTCGTAATGATATCCTAGTTTTGGGACATATATCTCTGCACATCATTGTGATGTTTTGTGGAGCAGCTTTGCTTTTTACCAGCACATTTAGCATGCCCTATTTTTTTAAGGTGCATGTTTTTTTGTGTGCCCCCTTAGCATAGGATCTTATCCCTGAAATAGTGGTAAGGAAAATTATTTAATTATATCAAAAGCAAAAGTATCTGCAATAATATATATATATATATATATATATATATATATATATATATATATATATATATATATATATATATATATATATATATATATATATATATATATATATATATATAGACAGACTAGATTAAGGAATGGCTTGTGGAGCTCTTTTGCAAGGAGAAATACTCAGGTTCAATTTTACACTGATCTGTTTCATAAACAGTGCCAGTAGTTTTAGTGAAGCGGGTGGTATTAGGCATTGAGTTTTCTAAATATACACTAGAGGAAACTCTGGCGCTAGTGCAGGGGCGTAGCGAGAAATTTTTTTTGGCGGGGGGGGAGGCAGAGGGGTCACATTGACCTGACTGGGGGGCGGGGGACAGGCAACAGCTTTTTTCTGTGACGTCACTATCGGTGGTGTTTAGAGAATATTGTGTACATGTATATCAAAGTCATGAGACTCTCCCCCCCCTCTTCCCCGCAATCCTTTTGTATATATGCTTGTGAAGAGAGTAAGCAAAATTTGAGTAATAGCAGGAAAACATAAAGTAAACGACTGGGACAGTGGTCGTTTCAAGCAACGGCCTCTGGTCGCACCAGTGAATAAACTAGTCTTCGAAAACTTATCACTGCAACGACCCGCCATATCGGAGAAGGCATCGTTAATTGTTAATCTCTGTTAAGCGTAGATGGGGTAGTCCTCGTTGGGGCGAAGTGCGTTTCACAAGTCAAGGACTGCTCCGATTACAACGTGAGATGAAAATGACTGCATGCCTATGGGAATGATTTTTATGTTGAGCTCCATATGTCAAGCAACCCTGCCACAGTGATAACTTTAAGTCAACATTTTTTACTTTTTTTTGCATACGTCGATACTAAGCCCCTAGAAACTCGTGGATTACGAGAGGACTGGTGCGCAGCATCAAAAAAAAAGACAATCTTTACAAAAAAGTAAAGCTCAGGCCATTCAGCTTGTCTCTTTGGGCCTGCGTTAAGGTGTATTCACAAACCCTTGCTGTCCTACTTAAAAAAAGCTAAACGAACCTACTGGTATCAAAATGAAGTGCTTGAGAATGGAAATGACTGTAGAAAAAACTAGAGCGTAAATTCTTCATTTATTTTCTATTTCAATAAAAAAGAAGAGTTTTTACATCTTGATCAGCCAGACACACTTCTAACAGTATTTTCGAACGGCACCAGCACTATAACCAATGCTATTGCTATTGACAATTCATTTAGTGAATGATTTTGCAACAACTCTGTATTGACTGTCACTAGCTTGCCTTCATTGCCTCGCTTGTCTCACTTACTTTTATTGAAACCCACATCAGCTGATGAAGTTCTACGCACTATAAAAAGTTTGAACGCAACAGGATGTGGTCTAGATTCAATTTATTCTTACAAAATTAAACTTCTTGCCCCCAATTTGTCATCTGTGCTTTCAGGTCTTATCAACACCTCATTACGTTCTGGCATTTTTTCTACTATTCTCATACAAGGAGACGTAACACCTATATTTAAATAGGGAGACCGAAAAGTTTTTTCATGCTTATCGCCCAATAACATTCCTCTGATTTTTTAGTAAGGTTATTGAGAAGCTCATTGTTAATTGCTTTACAAACTACCTAACAAAATTTAATCATTTGTCAGCAGTTTGGTTTTCCTGCTAAGCTGTCGACCGAATTAGCACTAATAAAACTAACTGATAGTTTAAAACAGTTTATCGATAAAAGTCTATGGGCAGGGGCAGTATTTGTTGTCTTAACTGAAGCTTTTGATAGCATTAACCACTCTATCTTGATTGCTAAACTTGAATCCATGGGAATTTGTGAGCCTACTTTAGCCCTTTTTTACAAAGTTACCTTGCTAACAGGACCCAAGTTGTGAACTGCTGCGGTGTTTTATGCTTTTCAATGACAACAATGACAACTAACTAGGGAGTTCCACAAGGCTCAATTGTGGGACATCTTTTATTTCTCATCTACATTAATGAATTACCATCGTTGCTTACTTTTTCCGACTGCATTCTCTATGCTGATGATACTACAATATTTTTTAGTGACAAAGATCTCACCAATATGCTATAAAAATTAAACACAGATGTCGGGAATCTTGTTTCATGGTGCAATAACAACTTACTGAAAATCATCCCTATTAAAACAACTTTCATATTATTTCACCCACATTAAAAAAACAATAAATCTAGAAATACACATAGATAACTGCATCATTACATCATCATAGTTTGTTACTTTTCTTGGTGTACGTAACATGAAATCCTCACCTGAAGTTTAACTTTCATAAGAACAATGTCATCAAGAAGACTGCTTATGGCATCTGCATGCTCTTTCGGTCAAGACATTGCTTTCAGCAACAAATTCTCAAATTTACTATGCATTTATTCACAGTCACCTTAATTACTGCATTTCATCCTGAGCCAACACGTGCACCACTCATCTGGCATCCATGATTCACCTTCAGAAAAGAGCAATACTTGTCATCACTCATATTTCACACACTGCATCAGCAGCACTTTTCTTCAGCACTCTCGAAATTCTACTACTTAAACTCAAACTTGGTGTTTTATTATTCAGAAGCAGAACAGGTGACATTCCAACTGACATGCTTCCCTTAACACATCTTCACATTATTAACAACACCCGGTTTTCTAAAACTAGCATTTTGCTTCCAAAAGTAAACACTAACTACAGTAAAATGACAGCATTGTTTACTGCAATTTCATCCTAGAATTCACTTCCATCAATTAAATCAAGCCCTTCACTACAGTATTTCCGGCTTCAACTCAAACAATTTTTACTAACCACATGCACCACCTGATCGTATTTGTGCATTTATATATGTATTGGTTTAAATATATATATACTTATGTGTGTATGCTCACTACGTGTGTGTGACGCTACGATGAATGGGAGACATGGTCTGGCTCATACGCCATGTTTATTCTATCCTCACTTCTTCCTCCTCAGCCTCTACCTTCAGTCACTACCTACTTACGTTACACGATTCCCCCTCCCCCGAAAGGATGCGCGTGTTGTATAATACAATGCATAATGAATTAGCAGTACTAGAACGCAAAAAAAAACACATCGAAATGGGCCGTAGTTGCACATCACATTGAAGTTCCCTAAGATCGCACATAGTCTTCCCAAGAGAGGGCAGCAATCCAAGGTTATCAAGTACAGCTACGGTGAGCGAGGCTGGCTGTTATGCTCTGGACAACATAAACATGCTTTGAGCGTGGAAACAAATGGAAATACAGCCGGTATTCTTGCAAAGATTGAACGAGGTTGGAACGCTTTGCAGGATTGAATGTTTAGTAGGCGTCGCATTTTTTGTCATGGGTCATATAAACGCCGTGCATGCAGTTTGCGCGCCCGTTGATCGTGGCTGATTAGGCGCTGCTTGTGTTCCTGCAGAGCACGAGCGGTTGTCTTGTGGCTTTTGGGGAGTTTTCTATGGTGATGACGCAGATGTTCAGACTGAAGGCGCAATCTTGAACGCTGGTGCGGAAATGTTCCTTCGCTTTTCTTTCTGCGAAGATAGCTCAGATGCGGAATCAGTCTTTTCTTTAGTGTATGTTGATCACGACACTCTTTAAGCCGCAAGTATCCTTGCGATGTTGTTTTAGTTGTTCGTTGCCGATGTTGGTGTGGGCGTTTTAGCTGTTGGGGTTCTTCCTGTTGCTTTTGTTGGCATTGCTGATGATGCACTGTCTGACGAGGTGGACTTCCTTTGGAACCATAAGCCCGCTTTTCATTGTAGGTTGACGTGACCAGCAAATAGTTGATACTTGGTAGGGTGTCGCGATTTGTGTCAGGCAATGAAGACAGTGCGCCAGAATTGGCAGAAAAATCTGCTGAGGCTCTTGCAATGCCATTCTTGATGGATGTTTCTGGCACAGGGCAGTGCTTGAGAGTTGATCCTTCCGAGCCTCCTGTGTGGGTTGGGCTCTCACGTGGCTGGGAATTCGACGGCGACAGTGCGAAAGGATCGGTTTTGTCAGACTTAAATTGGCAATGACTGTCTTTCCGTGCAACGAACGATGCGAACCCTTCTGGCGCATGAAACCGAACTGTAGGTGACGGGCTTGACTGAGTATGCTCGGAGCTTCTGCGTTCTATTCCGACCATAGTGGATGCATGAGACGCGATGTGGGCGTTGTGAGTGATCGAAGATCCACGCAACGGAAAAGTAGGAGGTTGGTCAATGCGTGAAGGCTGCTTTTGACTGTGACGACCGAGTGCGGTTGTCTGTGGATGTTGAGTTACAAGCAAGTCTTCATCGTAGTCGTCATTGTATTCTTTAAGCCAAACGATCATCTCTTGTTTTATCTTTTCCCATGACTCGTCGTTTTGAAATGTGTGGGTGAGGTAGAATTTGAAAGCCTCACCAGAGACGTAGTTGGTAAAGTTGATGATCATCTCCCGCTCCGACCATGATGCAGCGGTAGCGTGGAGCTCAAACAGGTCGAACCAGTCTTTTACGGGTCCATTGTCCGCTGCTCCTGTGTACTTGGGGATGGAAAGGTCAGTAGATGCTTCTGACATGATGCTGGTCAATGCGTAATGCTAGGCGCTTGTATGGTAGTCCATGTATGCTCAGGGTGTCATGCGGAGAACTGCGTAGATGATGAGCGACTGATGAAGGGACTGGCAGGTCTTCATCCCGTTGACTCGTGTGACGCTACGATGAATGGGAGACATGGTCTGGCTCATACGCCTTGTTTATTCTATCCTCACTTCTTCCTTCTCAGCCTCTACCTTCAGTCACTGCCTACTTACGTTACATATGTATATCCCTTGATCAATATTTAAATAAGCATTAGTTTGTTATATTGAAATAGTTTCTTACAGTTTCTTAATTGTCAATCTCTGTTTATGTTATTTGTACTTGTTTTAACAGGAGGTCCCTCTGACAGTTTTCACTTTGGGATCTGCTTCTGCATCATACACATTTTTTTTTTCATTAAAGAAAAGTGTCAGAGCCTTGGCAAACACTGTGACACGTTTTTTTTGCATGCAGACATTATGCACTGTAAAAGCACTTAGGAATTACTTTTGATAGTTGCATCGCTTAGTTTCTAAATCATGCCAGCGTGAAGCGACAAAAAAAAAGAAGGTAAGTGGCTTAAAGAGAGGGGGGTCATGCGAGAAATTTCGGAGGGGGGGGGAGGGCTTGACCCCCCCCCTTGGATACGCCAGTGCGCTAGTGTCTCTGGGAGCTGTAATGCACGATGCTTCAGCGAGCATGTGAATGATGGGTAGTGCACGGATTTGTCTAAACTTCGTACTTCTGGCTCCGTGTGTGTTTGTGTGGCTTGGCGCTGTTTTCTCATAAAAATAAAAATCGGCAAACGTTTCATCGGTTGCGCTTCACCACCTTATTCTTTTAAATATCATTCTAAATCTGGTCATGAAGTTCAAAAGGGTTTGTTCTTTCCTTCAAAACAAATCGAAGCTCAAAAATAAACGAAGCCACAAATGCGATTTGCCGCCGACAAGTACGAAGACTAGGCAAATTCGTGTACTACCCATTATTCCCATTGGTGCTGAACGGTCGCAGTGCCAGTCCCCCCTCTAGTTTTTTTTAGGAAGCTCTATAGTATTAGGCACTGTGGGGTCAAAAATCATACATCTAAGGGCAATAAGCCGTTCCATGAATTTCACTGTATGAAGCTTCAGTAGTCTGTTTTCTTCATATTTAGGGGACCAACCTTAACTTTCATGATACTTTGGCAGGGTTTTTGGGGGCATCGACATGTAGCAGTAATTGTCCCCACAATTGTTCAGGGTAACATGTCAAACTGCAATTCCGGAGGGGTGCTCATTATTGACCATGATCAAGGATGCTGCCTTCTTACAGTGATAATCACATTATCATTAGTGTAACGGTCATCAGTGCGTCTAGTGCCACAGGTGAACGTTTGCGAAGTTGATTGTATCTTTGAAGTTCAACGCTGTAATCGTTACCTTCCAGAAATGTGTCCCGCTGTACCTGATGTGCACGTTGAAGCGTCCTGTGTTGCTGTGCGCGAGATACTTTCAAACTGATCATGTCTATGACAGCGAGAAATTGAAAATACAAACTATGTATGAATCAGTATTTATGAATGGGGACATTTTACATATTGTTTTACAAATAGGGCAACTCTTTTTCTCGTGAAACACTTAGCAAGACACCGCTGTATTTGTTTGCTCCTGTTCTATGAAACAGGTCAGCTCATGAACACTCACCCTTGCTCATTAATCTGCTTCGGTGCATGCTTTTTACATCCCAGTGGCATCATCGTTGTTTATAGGAGCAGGAAAACTAGACATAGAGGCTAAAGAACTGGAAATAGCAAAAAATAAAAACCGTTTACTCAGTGAACTTTTTTACTTATTATGCAAAAATCTTGAACATCAATAGAAAAAAAGATAAGTATTGTTTCCCTTTCATGCTATCTAGCGAGCGAAAGTTTGTATTCGAAGAATACATGCAGGTGGGTTGTAAAAAAAATGTGTGCTCCCCCTGTTTAGCCTTGGCTTTAGTGCCAAAGAAACTTGTTACCAGATGCAAGAAATCCACGGAGTGGCAGTAATGTGTACTAATCTATCTCTTTGGCTCAACATTTCTTCAGCTCAATTTCTTTGGCATTATGCGCATACTTGCCTCAAATACATCCATTTTATTTTTATTGGATTTTGTGCAGGTGAGCGAAGTTGGCTGGGACATGAATAGAAATACTGTTTATTATTGATATTTTCAATAAACAGATTATTTCACGAATGTCAACCTATTTGTCTTAAAGTGAAGTGGCTGGAATCAAGGGTAAAACAGTTTTGCATGTATGTTATATCACTAAAGTAGAGTGATATTTGATAGTATTTTAAGAGAAATTGTCAGAATTTTTGTATACGTGATCATTACATAAGTGTTATCTTAACGTAAAAATAGTTATCACAAATTGCCCGTTGCATGTAGCACAAGTTTACTCATTGAGCTGGATTACTTAAGAAGGTGTTGGTTACTTAGACTGAAAATTGAAATGAAAAATTAATAATTGCCAAAGCCTCACTGATAGTTTGGTCAGTGACAAGACAAGTTAGTTTAGTGTGCAGGTTGAAGCCAGCAATTCGGTGAGGTATGTCTACTTTGAACTTATTGTCAAGCTAGAACCTGTATTCAGACAGGTGCTGTAAAACTTGGGGTAGAAAAATGCTCTGGTGTTTCACTACCTTTTTTTAACAAAATAGTTTTGTATGCTTTGAAGCTATGCGATTCCTGTTACACTTATGCATTTTATCAGCAACTTATAGAGTTCGTATTTATAAACTGGTGACATCATCAAAATTTGCTCCAAGTGGCTATGACTTCTGAAGTCATCCGCTAGTATATGAGAATTGTAGTACACATTTTGTGTCACTTCGAAGGCAAAATGGTAAAGGTTTGTTTGCAGTGCGATTTCAATGCATGTTACAGAACTCAAGGTAGTCAAAAATACCAGGGCACCACTGCGGCACCTTTCATAGCCTGAGTATCTTTTGGACGTTAACCCCCATAATCCATCTAAATGAACCAACTGTAGTGCACGTGTGACTTTATGAAGTTACTTTAAAAATTATTGGCAGAACCTCATTAATATATGTAAAATATCTAAGTTAATTTCTTGTGTAGTTAATATTGTCGCATAGGTGTTTGGGCCACTATAGATGAAAGAACACTGCTAGAAGAAGTTGAGGTGTCTTGGACTCCAATCGATGGTGTTGCTCTGGTCATAGTGCAGTGATGCTACGTCTCGTACCTGTTGTAAATACACAGTAAATATACTCGTAACAACATCTATCTACCTGTGAGAGTAATCTAGATGAGGAAGTAGAATTTGGCTACATGGTATTGTCAATGCTTCATAAAGGTTTTGTTAATGATAAAGAGAAGCAATGTACTATATGGTAATAACCCTATAGCACATACCAAGGTTAATGCCTGTTTCTACTAATCTGTAAATGAATAAGTGAGATCACTGTTTTCAGGAAATGCTTAATTGAAAACTTCTGGGGATGCTTTGTTTCCTTTATTCTTGGAAATTCAAGTTTACCACTGTGAAAGTCAACATTTATGTTAATTTTGTGATGTTTTAGCAGTCAGACCCTATACTTCAATATTTCTGACTCTTGTTGGAAAGTTTAGTTAATTTTAGTGTTATGAAAGAGAAGTGCAATAAACATTAGTGAGATAGTTCTATAATTTTTTGTATTGACTGTCTGCCATACCATGTTGAACATGCTGGTTCTCGTCAGATTCATTCTATGAAGGTGCATTAACAGTATGGGTCAGCTCATTTGTTGCCATTTATTTTTGACTGTTGCATTTTTTTATGCTTTTATGATTTTGTCTGTTTCAACATCTTTTCATTTTTAAATAGTTAAACTTTACTTGGGGTCTACTTATGCATTTTTGTTTGTTTGCTTTCTTGTTTATTCAACAGACGATTCATGGCTTAAGCACTAGTAGGTAGCATGTCCAGCATAATGTATGAATTATATTCTATTGCTGTTCCTTTTCATGGTTCTTCAATGGCCCCAGCAGCATTATGCGTCGGTAATCACCATAATTGTCTTATCACGAGCAGTGGCTGATAAGAAATAAGCGAGTCAAAATAATTCTTGCTTGTATTAGACTGTCCTAGTATTGCAAATAACGTGCACTCAGCTCGTGGTATAAAATTCAGTCTGCTTTGAAAACATATTGTGTTATGTACTTTAGGGCTCAGCATTGCCAGAGTACACCAAATAGAATCTTGTTAAGCTGTCTTACAGCGGAGTATATGGGTGTGTGTTACATCAAGTGGGACTCTTTAGCCTAAGCGAGTCTGTATTGGTTGGCTTAAATGTAAGGTATTTTATGATTCTTGGCTAATGCTTTGCGGTACTGGTGTTGGAAGCCCGCGGGATTCCTCATTCTTCAACAGGATGCTCAGCTGGCTCTCCAGCGGTCACTGTCATCCTGCTCATCCTACTCATCTTCGAAGCGTTGCTGTTTGCCATTTTCACTCTGGTCATGTTTGCGTCCCAGCTGCAAGCCATCTGGAATGATGAGACGGTATGAAAATCGAATAGCTGATTTTTGTAAACTGTTACTAGGTACATTCTGTCTTTACTTACAGCACATTTGCCTTAACTTATGTCAGTAGTTTTTAGATCACTGAACTCAAGGCTTAACCCATATGTGCCCAAACTCAGGAAAATAAAACTAATTTATTTCCCCTAACTGATTGCATTTATGACCTTGAAAAACATAATAAGGCTCTTAATTTAAAAAAAAACTTTCAAAAAGTAGTTTTCGAAAAAAAACATTCTAAAAAAAAAAACACTGGTGTCCAACATGTAGGACACTAATGTTTGACCCACCGTGAACAAAAAAACATTAGCACCTATCACTGTCACACGAAAGTTATTGCACACCCAATAACTGACGAACAATCGACAAAAACATCTGCAGCATTGAGAACTATTTTACTTCATATTACTTTTTTTTGTGGTATGGCATTCAGTTACACGCACACGAAATAGCCATTTTGTGACTGCAAGCACGTGGCTATTTGTAGCCCAGCGATCACCTAGACTTGCATGTGACGAGGACAGGGCATGATAAGCACACCTTAGGGCGTGCTACCTTTTTTACAGAAAAAACATTCAAGTTACACTGAAAAGTTTCAGTGTCCTACATGTAGGACACTGGGCATATATGTGTTAAGTTGGTGCTGTGCTACGTATTGCAGCTTCTGTGGCAGTTAAGATTTGATTACTGGTCTGTACAACTTGGAATATATTGTACTATTCACTGCATAATCCAGGGTCGGCTCTGATGACATCTTCACCGGGAGGTAGTGTATAGGAAAGGGCAAACTATCATTCTACGATGTTTTGTGAAGATTGTTTCGAGATGGGTGTATACATCAAATTCTAGTCGCTTAGTGTGCATTTCTGCTTTTATAAATCTCCTATAAGATATTGTAAAAGTGCAAGTTGCCCTTATATTTAACATTGAGAGCTATAGTATGCGGAATGTTTGTTGTGTACATCGACAAAGTGTGTGTGTTTCACTTCTAACCTTGAAACCGCAGTGTTGCACGACTTCTCTTGTTGCTGCTATGAAAGAAGAAAAATGGAGGTGTTGTGGCAACATAGGCAAGTTGTAGTGACTGGCTGATCTAAGAGGTTGCTTCACAAGATCATCATGCTTGTTGAAAAATCATATATATTTACAAAACAGTGGATCATTTTTAAAAACACTTATCGAACAGATAATGTGGTGATACAGCGGTCTTCTTTCTGTTGATTGTCCGCTCTCTGGATTCCAGTAACTGGGATCCAATTTGTGCCTGTCATTCATACATATTTTCAGTGGTGGAGTGCCCATATTGGAAACATGAGATATTTAACTGAAAACTTTTAAAGCTTGAAATATTCAATTTGAATTATTAAATACATATTTCATTTGATTAGATCTGAAAGACTTGTTTTCTTTGCAAAATATTTGAACTACCGAAAATTTCACAAGGTGTCCTGCACGTTTTTTGACCATCAAGTCATGGAGGAAATTCTTACTTTTTAAAGAATTCGCACTAGCTTGTTCAGTGCAATTTTACAAAGGTGCTATTGGTGTTCTTGTGTTGTTGTCAGCACAGGGCATAATGCATGGGGTTGAGCAGGCCATTACAACTGAGTGATAAAGTTATCCTGTAGTTAATTATCAAAACAAATTGGTTATCATCACAAAATGGTGTTAGCATTGCAAAATTGAAAAGAAATACTTTGAAGTAAGGAAAACTAGGCATTCATCTGGGCTAACCTACAATAAAGCACTCGCAAATGACATTTGGCATTACGGGCAGGTCCATGTAACTGAACAATGGCAGTAGACAGGGGCAGATTTGGCATCTGCTGATGCCCATATGCTATTGAACTGAGGCAACTGCTGCTATTACATATAAAAATCACGCAACTTCAGGGTCTTAGTAATGGGTGGCCGCAAGTACATTACAATGAACATGCTTGTTTGTGTGGTTGAGATCTACACTTCTCGGGAGGAGCTTTGTATAAGTTGAAGGAAGGCTTGTTTCCATACCCCTTAGAGCCTAGTAGCAGAACTTTCGATCACCATCACTTGCGGTAGATCCGCACCATCCGAGCGAATACGTCCCATATGACGTCAGTGGTAGAGCGGCATATAGCTGTCAACTCTGGCTATGGCAGTAGCGATGCTGCGAAAGATAGTGAGAATCGTAAAGTGGCATGCTGTAGGTTACTGGCCTCTAAGTGACATGGAATTACCGATGACACTGACAAAATTTATGCTGCACCAGGCAGAACTTTTCGTTTTCGTTGAAATTGTGGTGGTGGTATGATTACATGCATGACACTTCTGTCGTGTGACTATCCTGTATGGGATGGCGACTGGAAGTTCCCCTTTCGCACTATTTGGAGTATGGAAATGCACTGAAAAAAGATTGGGGGATTGCTGCTGGTGCACATTTGCTAATTGTCAAGCTGCATGCATACACTCCATGTAACACAAATTTCATTTCTTTGTGCAGGGCATAGAACAGCTGAAGAAGGAAGTGGCCAGATGGCAGAAACGCTCTCCATGGAGGAGCATGCGGGCTGTCTTTGGGCGCTTCTCTCTCTCCTGGTTTTCACCGTTCACATCGGCTGTAGATGCACCCCTTCTCCCAGGTTACCTGTATGCGGTTTAGCACTATTTTCAGAGATGATGCAAATGAAAGCATGATGAATGTTGCACATCTCCCTCACGAACCAAGTTCTCCTATTCGAGCTTAGGTCATACCTAGTGTTTGCAAGACGTGCATCTAAGTCTTTTGTGGAAGAAACTTGACACAGTACTACAGCAAGCCATTCATTGTGAAAGCTTTTTTAATTGGAAACAAAAGTCTATATGAAGATACTGCGAGCCCCATCAGGTTCTGCTTCTGGAAGGCACTGGCACAGCACTACAAGTTGGCCTGCCTGTTTCTTTTTCTCTGTGAACGAAACGTTTGTGGTTGAGCAAAGACTGAAGAGGGTCAAAATACAAGTGTGCATTTTAAAGAGCGAAGCGACAGAGGCAATGTTTGTGTGCCCGCTTCTACTATGGTACACTATTGGAGGTTTGTATAGTGTGCGTATATTAGCATATGAACTGCTAGACTTCCAAGCTGTGAAACAGTGATACACTTGAGGTTAGTCTTTTTATTTCAATATTTTTTACTGTACCACTTGATTGTTAAGCCGATTGTTCAAGCTTAGGATGGCACTCCCAGAAGTCACATTTTGGAATACTGTCATTTCCACGAGATTATGCATGAGTTGTACTGGTTGCGTTGGTGTTGGTCACAGCATTCCTGGCACTATGTCGAGTTCACTGTCTTATCACAGTGCCAAAACACTGTCACCTGTATATGCCAGAATATGTAGTGCTATCTGCCCAAAATCTCTTGGAAAAATCTGCAAAAGTGAGTACCAGAGAATACCATCCGTGAACAGTCTTTATACTTTTAAGCAGTAGGTCTTAATATCAACGAAGGGGTGTAGTCAGTGTTTGAAGTGGCATAAGAACAAATATTGTGATAGTTTGAGAGCACTATTCATGATGTTGACTTAAAACTACCATTTTGGAAAACATATTGTTATGAAAAGGGCCCACGGTCTCTTGAGTAGCATGTCGCAAGGGCCAATGCCGGACAGGGACCATCCAGGCAGAGGCAAGGCAAAAGGCAGCCAGAAAAAAGAAAGCGTTTATATTTACAACATATGTACAAAACGTGGATGAGGAAGCCGCCGATGCTAGATGCGTCGGCCTTTCATAGGCGCCGAGATGCTCGAGGAGGAGGGTGCACCACCACCCTTCAGACGTGTCCAGCGTCTTTGTCGGGCGCACCCAGTGTCTCCGACAGACACGTCTGGTGCCTCTTGGAGGAAGACCAGCATGGGGGCGAGAGCACCGCACAACACGAGACGTGTTCCACACGTTCCTGCGGGCCAGTCGTGTGGCACCTTCCAGGTAGTCTGGCTCCGGGTACTGCCTTTGGGAGCCTTTCAGCGAGCAGGCCGCAGCACGCTCGTTACAGCTTCTCCGCTGGGGCAACCTTGACCCGATGGACAAGGGTCCCCAGCCACTGCCGGAGGGTCATTCTGCGGAAATCCAAAGTATCCGCTTGCAGAGATGCCCGGAACAGCTGTTGGCGCGCAGCGTTGGCCCCGGCTCACCCGTCGTCCTGGACTCAGTGCTGGCCTTCGGGCTCGCCCTCTGCCAGAGCGCTATCACAGGGATACGTGCAAGCACCAGACCCCCTAAGACAATTGCCACCACTGCCACCAGTTGTTACGAAGAGGCAACTCACGGCCTCCTGGGTAGCGTTTCATGAGGGCCAGCGCCGGGCCATGAGCATCCAGGCAGGGGCAAGGCAAGAGGCAGCCAGAAGGAAACAGAAAGTTTATATTTACAATGTGTGTACAAAACATGGACGAGGAAGCCGGCTATGCTAGATGCGCCGGCCTTTTATAGGGGCTGAGACTCTTGAGGAGGAGGGCGCACCACCGCCGTTGAGACGCGTTCAGCGTCTCTGTTGGACGCGCCCAATTTCTCCGACGGACGCATCTGCAAGAGAACCGCACAACGCGAAATGCATTCCACGCGTTTCTGCAGGCCAGTCTTGCAGCACCTTCCAAGTAGTCTGGCTTCGGGTACTGCCTCTGGGAGTCTTTCAGCCAGCGGGCTGCACATGATCGTAATAATACTCTACTGAACAGGAGTTTTTTTTTCATGTTCATTGAGTTCCAAGTTTGGGAAAGTTGGCATTATTCGTGAAGCTCATTGTCAAATACCTGCTTTTATGGAAGGCAGAAATTATGCAGCGATTTGAAATATTCATGGGGGATATAGTTGTGCAAAATGCAGTAATTGTGGCATGCGTAATGGAATGACTTTTGAACTTTGTTTTAAACTTGCCTCTAGGCAACCATTGATATCTATTCAGTTGCTTGTGTTGGCTTTTATTGCATTGAATGCTTGTATGGCATTGTTTATATGAAGTAATGTTGCATCTAAGCTTTGGAAGGCCAGAGTAGCAGCATAAAAACGCACAAAGTGTCTTTGGAGATCTACTTTTTAACTTGAAAGTTATGCAGAAATTATGCAGCGATTTGAAATATTCATGGGGGATATAGTTCTGCAAAATGCAGTAAATGTGGCATGCGTAGTGGAATGACTTTGGAACTTTGTTTTAAACTTGCCTCTAGGCAACCATTCATATCTGTTCAGTTGCTTGTGTTGGCTTTTATTGCATTGAATGCTTGTATGGCATTGTTTATAAGAAGTAATGCTGCACCAAAGCTTTGGAAGGCCAGAGTAGCAGCATAAAAACGCACAAAGTGTCTTTGGAGATCTACTTTTTAACTTGAAAGTGCAAATTGTTGAAAGGTATTATATGTAAATGCAAAGAAACATATACACCAAACTCTTAGGCTCTAAAGTCTCTATTTTGTAGACCTGTGCATCTGTAGTGATACTCTGTGTAATGTATTGAAACATTGTCAGAATGCATGAAATCACAAATGAAGTATTGTAATTTGAACACAATTTGTGCTATAAAATTGATAGTTTTCCATGTATATAAGGTTGTCATTTGAATGTTGTGTGATGTTTATTTGCTTTGTGCCCTTACTGTGAAAGTATTCTAACATTGTTGTACAAGAACGCACTGTGGGGTATGTTTTAAAACTGCATTATTTATTTTTCAAAGTTTGGTCGCTACGTAGTAACAACTATAAGGGCACTATACTCACTTGAATCTCTAGCTTAAAATTTTTTTTTCACTTCTGTAGGCATTGGAACACACCATCATTTATGCCTGTTATGGCACTTTCTCAAATTTCTCTAGAGAACTTGCTTGACATGCTTGAGAGTGCTTCCTTAAAAGCCGTTTTAAGAATTGGCTGAAGTTGTATTAAACAGTCTTGTGCTAACTGGAAAAAAATAAAGCAGTATGATCAGGATAAATCTTGCCTGATCTAAGCCCTAACGATTCTGCTTTGCTGTATCTGCATGTCAGTAGGGCATATAGCATTTGTTGAGGGTTATAGACATTCTGAATGTGTGAGTCTGTGTTAACTGTTTAAAACTAATGAAGAAGAGAAACTTGAGAATAGAGTTCTTTGTTGTTTTTTGTTGGTGAATAAGCATTTCCATGTCACTGCCTGGCATTGTTGGTTTGCTTTTATGGGGTTCCGGCTTTCTTTTTAGCCATTTTTGCTTGTCTGACAAAATTTAGACCTTGTGATCCTTTTGTTGGTTGTGAATGGGCTATGAACTTGCTTATGTATTGTAATGGTTACGTGATTACAATATGAGAAGGGTAGGAAGGCACTGTATTTAACTGGTACTATGTGATTTTTATGTTTTGTCAGCTAGCTGAGTTGCACCACTGCAGGATTTCTGATTCTTGGTTGTAAAGACGTAATAATTACCTCAACCCCCCCGCCCCCCACCCCGCTGCCCTCTTATATGCACTTGTACTTGGCCTGAGAGGGCTGTTGCTGTTTTTGTAAATAGTGTCACAATATTGACAGTTACGTTCACCCTAAAAAATAAACAGGCGTGCTTTTACATGCAAAAATTCAATAATAGGGCTCAAAGTTAGAGATAGAGAGGTGCCGTACTTTTGCATATATACATGCATATGCTGTGTCCTAGTATTGGTCATGTGATCTTATTGCAGCGTGACTTGAGTCGGAATTTGTGACATGTCGAAGGACAGTTTTGAGAAATGCCCTTAGCATCAACCATACACTACATTCATTTAAACTGTTTGCACTTGGTTTTCAGCTACGTTCTTACCCAGAATGTTTAAAATTTGCTCTGCATTCCATGAAAACTTGTGGATTATCTCGGTTGTCCTGCTTTTTTTTTATAATCCTTCCATTCATTAAACAGACATTCTTCACTTGGTGAGCCAGTTGACTGCTGGTAAAAATGCATAATATTGTGTAAAATTCTAGGCACTTCACTTGCAAAATGTCAGAGGCTTGTCATAAATCCATTGAACTAATGCATCCTGATGTACGCTACTTTCTGTCTTCTATGCACTGCAGTGTATACTTAAAATATTTCAATTGCAACAAAGTGGGAAATTGTTCAAGAGCTATTGGTGGCACTGGCATATGTACGCCATAATGTTGAACACGTGGAGCCCATGTAAAAAACAGAAATAGTATATGTTTTCGGTTTCTTACACTTCTTGGCTACTTCGACTAGTGCATGATATGCACATTACATGTGTGGGCTTGCTTTACACAGCTTTAAAAAAGGTCAGTACGTATCGATCTTTATCCAGTTTTAATATGAGGTTGGACGCAGTATGATTTCATGCGCCAAAGTGCAGTTTGAAACCTTAAGTTTTATAGCGAAATTGTTGTGTGGCCCTACTAAAGAAATTTAGAAATGGTAGTTGCGACTGGTGCATAAAACATCCACTGAAATTTTCGCTTCTTGTCTTTCTAGAAGGCTGACACTAGGAATATCTTGGGAGGAAAAAAAAAAAGTGTCCGTGAAGTGAGTAACCATGTGGGCTACTCTCAACAATTTATTTCATTGTCAGAGAATAAAAAACAGCGTGTTTCTTCGTGGCCAAGACATGATAAACGTTTTGATACCATGTATCATAACCTTCATTTCCAATAAAAGCAAGCTGAACATATTTCGATTATTTTTGCACCACCCTTCAACATGTTTCAATTTTTTCCAGAATTTAGTCATTTTTATTAACTCTATGCATCAGTCTGTTAAAAATATTGGGCACACAAATGCTTTTTAAAATGTCCTGTACAAGGTTTTGTCATTGCAAATGAAAAACCGCTGCATGTAGATTATGCAGTGACTGCATGCCTACAAGGTAGGACACATTCATGCACCACGAGAACAGCCAGGGACTCAAAAGTAAGCTTGTATGCCCTTATAGTAGCCAATCTGCTACGCAGTACGGGATGGGCATCGGAGCTGTCAAGCCACAGCTGCTTTCGTTAGCGGTAAATGGTCAACACAGCACATCAGCCAATGGGGCAGAACCGCTACTAAAATTTTCACCACTTAAGAAAAAAAAAAGTAAAATACACACATACATGTGCACACACACACACACATGCACTGAATATTATAAAAGTGGGATGGCACTTGTGACTCAAATTATGGACCTATAGCTTCAATGCAGCGAACTGAAAGGGACAAATATTGCTTCTGGATGCTAGTCAAAGCAATGGAATGTGCTTGTGTTTTAGGGACGTTTATTACCTCCTCACACCATCACTTCACAATGCTTTTTTTTTTTGCTTCTGTCTTTGTTATCACTGGACACTTTTCAAATATTTTTGCAGAAGAATGCTCCATGGGACAGTGCAGGATGAGTGGCCCTTTAAATAGTAATCTGTGTAGTTTGTCTCACCTAAGCAACTAGATTGAAGGTCTTGTGATTTTATGAATGGGAGCCTTTTGAATGTAGTCATTTTTTCAAAGATAATTTCAAGTATTTCTTGTTCTGAATGATATTATGTAACAGTCATTTGTATATTTTTGCTGTTTTATTGCAAAAAAGTTTTCAGTGAGAATGTTGAACAATTTAAAATAAAGTACCACATAGAACTTTGTAAAAATTGCTGTTACTCAATACGAGCATTCTCGTATATTGAAGACAGCCTTCAGAACGAAGGAATAAACTGTTCTTATTGAATCTTATAAATGCTATTCAGACGGCAAGTAAATACGCATCAAGACACAAGTGAAACTAGTGAATGGTTTAGTCTATCAAACACGAAATGAATCCCAACTCAGGTGCCATTAGCAAGTCTCAGCTATCACTAGTAGAAGTAAAAATGATTGAACTTCGTGTTATTGAAGTCATATTTAATGGACTAATTATTATTTGCAGGGAAGTTTTTAGGGAACAGTATCTTGGAATTAGCCAGTTTACTGCTTTTTGACAGACACAATGACTATGTCTTAATGTAATAACAAGAGTCTCAAATTGTAATTAATCACCTTTAGTTGTTCCACGACTAATGGCATCTTAAATGAAACGTAAAAATGAAATGTTGCTGATGAATCTTATGATAATGTTACTTTTTTTTTTAAGTAATCTAAATCTGAAAGCAGCCTCACTAGGTATTTTATTATATTTATTATAACCTGATGTAATTTAAAAATGATCTTGACCATTGAGTCCCCAAACAACACTAGCATCTCTGAAGATTGCTAGAAAGTTTTCCAAATGTTGTGTAGCAGCACTGTGTGTTTGCATGTGGCCATGTGTTGTTGCGTTGTATATTATTCAGTATTGAATTTCTTTGCTGCAGCAGCATCTGGCCAAAATTCGGCTCTACTTAGTAGATGATGATGCACTGTGCTTTCATATGTAACGTTTCAAAAATGTGGGTGATACTATTCGGTACTGCCATAACGTTTCAAAAATGTGGGTGATACTATTCGGTACTGCCACAAATGTTCTGGCTGGTAAAATGCAAGATTTGTAAACACTGAACCAGAGCATAGCAGATGCAAGGTTCCTTACATTCAAATCGCTATCTAAATATGCAAAAGGGAATTAGTAAGTATACATATTTTTCGGAACGGCAACCTTTACTGTGCATGCTTATTGCGAACACTTTTTTTTTTTTGCACCATCATTGATGTATGTGACAACTTTTGTCACGCTAGATGCACTTTGTTGTGATCTTTGTTGTGCTCCTGATGGTAGTCTTCGACGTGGGAGACTGTGATTTATTTGGTGGTTTCTACACATAGTGATGCTCATCTTTATTTTGTGTAGAAAGTGTTTTGGAACTGGGAGAATTGTGTACTGCAACACTGACTGGGCTGGGCAGGATAATGGCAATGATGTAAGTAAAAGAAAAATTAAGGACAACCAAAAGCTGTTTTGTGTTTCTCCCTCTGCCTATACATAAGAATATGGCACTGTGTGGGGAGAAGCGTAGTATGATTGCATCACATGGGCCATAGAAAGCAAATAGTAAATCTTGCAGCTTGGTGAGTTGGTTCACATTTTAACGTAAACTGGTGTGTGCAAATAAAAACAAGGGGACAGAAAATATAGAACAGGGACAGGCATAAACCAGTCCTTTCCTTAGACAAAACGAAAGATATCTTAATTGGCAAGTAGTCGTGACTATGTCACTCACCAAGAAGTTGTAGGGTGATGACGAAGGAGTGGACGAAACATTGAAGAAAGGGCTCGTTGTAGTAGAAATGTGGTTCTTCCTTGTCAACCTTCAACCTTTTGGGGAGCCACATATTCATAACTACTCGCCGATCAAGATAACTTTCGTTCTGTCTAAGGAAAGGAGTGGTTTGCGCCTGTCCCTGTCCCATCTTTTCTGTGTCCTTGTCTTTATTTGTGCACACCAGTTTACCTTGAAAGCAAATAGTTACTTTTCATAATGCATCGTGAGGTTACAGACATTAACAGCTGCTGACTTGCCTTAAAAAATGAAATTTCAATTCTTAGAAGTTCTCCTGCATGATTGGTGAAAAATTACTTTCAGCAAAGAGCAGATGCTACTGTGAACACTTCAGCCAAATGTTGTAGTCAAGGAAAGTGTTTACTAGCGGAGCACGAAGCTGCCACTTTCTGAAGTGCCCTCTCGCTCATACAAAGTGGGAACGAGCCTTATAGGATGAGGTTGAGCCAGAGGCCTGTAGTAACTCTGTTCAGAGTTTGTGGTGGCTACTGTATGGCGTCATAAAGCAGATTGCTGCTATCGGCTGATAGCTTATGTAGATTAAAAGTGGCGTGCTTGCCATGGGGTGCCTTCATGTGCTAGCGCCGTACTGACTGTATAGCGCGCTAAAGTTTCACAGCAACGCTGTTGCTCACTGTATTCACACAGAGCTATAGAAATCGTGCTTCATGGTCTGCTCTCAAGGTCAGGATAGATATGAGCATAATCGAATGGAAATGATTGGCCAAGGAGTTGTACTCTCCGCACAGACCTATCTTGCATCTATTGGACTAACAATAGCAGCAGAAAAGTTGATTCATGCTGTTGCCAGGTGTGCGAATATGAGAAACAAGGATGAAAATATTACTTCCTGATGCATCAATTAAGCTAGCTAAGTATATTAGATTTCTTGGAGTTGTACTGGACTCCAGTATGAATTGACCATTTGCGAGAAAGCTACGGCGCATGAGCAGAAACAGCGCCGGTAGTGTCTTCTACAGGCATTTTGTTTTTGGCTGAAAAACACAAGCCCGGCCGGCCGCCAGTCATACATTCGTGTGCCGTTGTTGAGCAGCCTTGCTTCCGTAGTTTGGGCAATTATGCCAGCACATGGCGCGAATTATTTTACTGAGAAAAGAGCGTGAAGTGCCAGACCGGATAGTTCATGTTTAGGTGCAAGCAAATGCCACGAAAACTTCCAGTGATGGCGTATGATTGAATGTGCCATTTTCATCCTTGTCATGAGTTTTCACTAATTTTTCATGCATCCAAACCGCTAAATGAGCCCTAACTTTGACAGATTTCTCTTCACGAGGCAATGTGCCGAAATGAGAGATGCTTGGATAACGGCTTGTGCAAATACAGATTTTTGGCGGAGGAGGAAAAAATCTTTATTGAAACAGAAGAGTTTGGCGCACGTGGCTCGCCGTGGGTGCCGAACTAAGATTTCTGGATCTTTTTAGTGTAGCACAAAGGCTCGCGTATATCAGCGCTTGTAACAGACCACCAAATACTTTTGTTAAAACATCAGGATGTGCTCTGTTGTATCCGGGTGATTAATTAGTGAAATAGAAACACTAACGTAATAATCACAGTAGTGGGAAATGCATCTACAGTTGCTTTATGTATAGCAAGAGAAACTCCTGTCATGTGAAGAAAGTGCAATGTTGCATATTAAGAAAGCGCACCGTTAATAATGTTGTGCTCACGAGCGCATTGGCGCATATTCATTTACGTCATGATTTGATACTTTGGTCATTTTGACTAGAAACGCTTATATTAGAGTGTACTATAAACGGTTCTAGTGCTCTCTACCTATATATAGAAATCTCTGTGGGTAACACGGTCCCAGTGCATTCCAATGATGTGACCCATGCAGTAGACAAGAGGATGTCGGTGCTGTCACCTTGTGTGAACATTCTTCGAAGGATGGCAGGAACAAGCTTGGGGAATCGCCCAACATCAATGATAAGGTTACACTCAGCAGTAGTTGTCAATCGTGTGCTCTTGCAATTGCTTCTAATTTATCCAAGTGAGTCACAGTACTAACAGCTGGAAACACTTCATCGTATAGGCCTAAGAGTTGCTTTGTGTGTGCCGAAGTTTGCAGCGAGTGTAAAGGTGCTTCATAAAGCTCGTCTTCTGCTGTTTTTTCTTCTCGCCTCTCAATTGCTGTGTACACAGTTTTAGCAAACTGAGTCAAGTACAAGCACTGCTCAGTCGCCTTCGGCGACGTACGGAATCAAGAGCTTTCGTGGCCCTCAACACCCTTTGCCATCTTGGCATGGAATTCCCCAAACATAGACAACTTTGACAAGACACCTTGGTCACATGAGAATGTCCACTGTCAGGGGATGATTCCAAGGATGCACAACAAGCGCTCCACACCCACAGCAGAAGTACATTCTTTTGTACTTGGATACATTTAAAAAAAAGTATGCCGATCATTTGCAAGTTTTCAATGATGGATCGATCGACATAGAGCGCGGGGCAAGTGCTGCAGCATTTGTGATCCCGTCCCTAAAGGTGTCCTGGACAGTACGACTCGAGTGCATTGTTTCATCGACAGCATGTGAAAGCGTGGCAATGCAGGCAGCCCTGAAGAAACTTAAGTTTTGTAGGGAGCAATAAGTTGTGCTGTTTTCGAGCCCACTCTGCAGCGGCTAAAACGCGATACTTAAAGATTGCTGCAAATCCTTAAAGACTTGCACGGCATTGGTCTATAAAAACTTTCAATGGATTCTATCACATGTGGGTATAGCAGGTAATGAGGCGGCTCACAGACTTGCCCAGAGAGCTTTGGAACTTACTCCAATGAAGAAGGCTCCCAGAGACAATCAGCGTTCTTTACGAGAAGCTGTCGACAAGCATTTCCACTCGCTATGGCTGACGCCTCACCAGCCATGTGTGACAAAAGGGCTATCAAGGAAAGAGGTCTGCCTGCTTCATTGCATCAGAATGGGGTGAGCGCGTACACCAGCATGGCTCACCAAGATCAGACTGCACGACACCATTGTGCTTGACTTGCAAGGAAAGACGTGATATAGAACACTACTTGTTTAAGTGTCGTGAGCTTAAGAAAGAATGGCAATGTTGATTTGAGCAACTGCAACATTTAAAAAGCCACTCACCTTGTTTAACTATTTTGAGCTGACAAGCGCAATGAGTAGATGAGACGTTCATGATCACGTCTGCCAAAATTTGCAATGCTCCGCGTCGCAGAAATGGGTAAAATTTCAAGATAAACGCTGCTCCCCCTTTCTTTTGCAGGCACGTGCCCAGAGAATGAGGGAATGACGTGCACATATGAATGGCCCTACATACACGACAATACAGCGACGTTGGTCTGCTACGTAGACGACTATGCTCCGACGTTGCCAACAGTGGCACGTGACATGACGAAAATTATTTAACACGACATGCGTAGTTTATGTATTTGTTGCTTGAAGAGATTAATAAATCTTTAGATAAATAATGAGGTGCAATAAGGGAGTGTGAGCGTTCTTTTTTTCATTTTTTCTCCTCGAATTGTAACTAGATGCGGGGCTAATGTGCCGCCGTTTCGCATGTGTTCGTGTCCCCGGGATTCCGCGTTCAGCACATCGAGCAGGCGACAGCCGTGGAACGCTCCTACGCATTTCCGTACTTATTGTGCTCATCTGTTCTACCGTAAGCCAGCGTTTCCAAGCCATCCCGCAAATACAGGCAGTAGACCTCAAAACAACGCTGGTTGAAAAAAAAAAAAAAAAAACGTCGCTCGCGTCCACGGGGGTTGGGCGTGTTCGAACACATCATGCGCATGTGACTTCTTGGTCGGATGCCGGAAGAGGGTAGAGAAGAGATTTGGCTTGCAAAGGCTACGCGGATGAGCGGCAAGGGTTTCGAGCTCGCCTCCCCTCATTCTTGTTTTGTGTCGCTTCAAAAAAACAGTTTTCTCAGCTCGTAATAAACCCATTTAAAGTATTTTTGTGGCAAAATGTTCCTTATCGAATAACCAACAACTTCTATTGTCTAACTTAAATTTGGTCTGGGGCCTGGTGATTGGCCCTTCAAGCTCGTCACGTGACAGGGTAACTAATATTGTGTTTCCGCGTGGTCACTGGATCTTCAGAAAGCAAGTGTCGCGACTTCTATTAGTAGGTTTTGAATGCTACAGACCTTGCATGCGACTGGTGATGAGTTTCAATTATGTTGGAGTGTGGTGCAGTGAGATAGGGGTTTAGACACACTACTGCATATGGAATAGCAGAGAGACCGCTGGCTTAGGCAGAGTTATGTTGCACCATGTGTGACTTTTAAAAGCCTGCCCGTGCTTAGTTAAAAGAAAACAAATGAACAAAAGAACATTATAGTTACAATTATCAAAGAGGAAACCGAGCAGGGCAATTGCCTGCAAATTATGCAAGACTAGATCCACCAGCTACTTACAACATCTAAATCCTAATGCGCTGACATAGCGTCTTTGCACCTTGGTCATTCTCCCCCTCCCCCACAGCCTCTGTATAACTTATCAGCTAGGGTGAAATCTGAGAGAGATTAAAGCGTGTGACTATAACTGCTCATTCTAGGCTGATTTGAAAAATTTGTGTGGCCATCGATTGATTTAGTGGTACTCGGTAGTTCGAGTACTTGGAAAAGTGACTCAGGAGGCCGTTAATGTTGTCACGCAGTCTAGACATGAACGAAGGGAGAAGACTGTATGTCTAAGATGAAACTTTATTTTAAGCGTGGGAAATTGAGCAAGTTGGTACGACATAACTGAATATACTTGTTTATTTGGCCGATCTTGTGGCTGGTAGTTAGAAGCTCGGGTTACAGCGATACACACTGGCAGTGATACCGGCCAACAGAGAGTCGGCTATGCCACCTAGAAGATTATCAGGCCTGCTCACTACCGCCATTACTTCACTCGTTTTGCTTGAGTGAGCGTGTGTACGGGAGGCTGTGAATCCATTGCCACCATCATCTCCCGTTAAAATATAAAGTGGTGGCGGCGAGTTTTACATCCTTAACAGCTTTATTCTGCCTTTTCGGTCAAGAGAGGTGCTGGTTCAAATAATTTATTGCGCTTGAAAGCATTTGGAGATTCACCTGTGAGCCATTTATAACGCGAAAAAGTCAAAAGTAGCACGCTATCGAATGCGTGGTCGATATATAAGAGCAAAGTTTGATGGACCAACAAAGTGACGAAATAAATAAGCTAGATTTTATTCATTATTTACACACACACACACACACACACACACACACACATGCGTACACACACTATATATAGCATGGAGGGAAACTGTAAATTCCTACTCATTTTCAAAGTTTCTGCAGTTTTATTTGCACTCTTTCGAACATCCGTCTTCATAAACACGTAATTATTAAGGAGAGTGTGTGCTGCTACCACAAGTATGTTATTGATTACCCTTGACCATTGCAAGAGAAAACAAAATCTTTCATTTCACAAAAATCTTTTGTGTCCAACACAAGAGGCGGCACTTCCTCTTTTGCTCAGGCCCCTCTCACAGTGGCGTTTAGTCGGTCATACTGGTGTGCGACCGATGGCGATGTTGTGAACCGTGCTTGTATGTCGTCACTTCGAGGATTTGCGTGCTTTAGAGGTGCGGCACTGTGTAGAAACCACCGTCGCAGTAAAACTCGATCCAGAAGCAGTTCAATTGGTTTTATTGCATGTGGTGGCTGCCAACGCCATTCCAACAAACGTGGGTGTCCGCTTTTACTGCTCATTTTCAATGCACAGCGTTTTGTCGCTTGTCTCCGCAGCAAGTGCTGCGCAATGGTGAAATAGACCGGACAACAGTTGACATCTGATGCTCGTCCTCAAAAGGTACAAACGTCCTCGTCCACTTGGCAGCATCCTGATAATGTTCTCTAAACATCAATTGCAAGGTTATCCTTAAATTATTCTCATGCAAACAGGTTTAGGACATCAACCAGCTTGGCTGTTCATCAAAGGAAAATAAGGATTTGTGCAATGAACGCCATATGACTGTAGATTCATTATAAAAGACATTGCCGAGGCACACATTTTGCCTTATTTCGAATGAATACATATGTTAATCGTTGACGTGACTATGGTATGCAATGCTTAGGGTTAATAATTAATGATGTGTGAGGCGCTTATACTATGTCAGGTGGGCAGCCACAAAGGTCTTTGTTAGTCAGCATTAATGATTAACTCGGTGTGGACTCCTGAAGAGTTCTGGCTTGCCTCCGTTTACACCAGAAGTCGCTCTTCGTGGACAGAATTGGCGACTTCCTTCCATGGTGAAAATTAAAGTCACATGGCTGGGCTGGCGGTTATTGCTACTTCATAACAATTTATTTATTTATTTACAGGTTACTGCTAGCCTGGGTGCCAGGCTTTGAGCAGGTGTGGGCGATACAAAAGAAGAAAACAGGATAACATACAAGCATAACAATACACTTCTAAGGGTACACTTTGAACCGGAAAAAAAACCGGAACCGGAATATACTGTACAAGTGCTATCGGTAGGATAACAACTACTATTGAAGACTAAATCATGCCGAATTCAACAGGGCACGAAGAAAGGATGAGACATCAGAACATTGCACAACATTAGCAGGTAACAGATTCCACTCATGGCACGTACGGGGAAAAAAGGAATTTTTGAAGACGTTTGTTTTACACCAAAATTCAGCGACTTTTATTGGGTGATTGGATCGTGTTGGGCGGCAAATGCTCGGCTGGATGTATGCTTCCTTGTCAATTTGAAGTCTATCGTTATACATCAAATAAAAAAATTTTAGCCGATCATGATAATGTCTTACCGCAAGGCTTTCCAAACCGGCCCTGCGGAGAAGACTCGTAGGAGATGTTTTCCAGCTGTATGAACTGTAAACAAATCGCGCGGCTTTTCTTTGTATGCTCTCAAGCTTATGCGTATTAATTAGAGTGTATGGGTCCCAGATAATTGAAGCATATTCTAATAGTGGTCTGATGTAAGTTTTGTAAGCTAGCAGTTTGGTATCCTGAGAAGGTTTCGGTAACATTCTCCTTAAGTATCCCAGTTTTCGCATTGCCTTTTTCTGAATGTACGTGACGTGCTCGTCCCATTTCAGATCGGATGTGATTAAAACTCCTAAATATTTGAAGCATGATACTTCAGCTAGACTATGATTGTTTATTTGGTACATGTGCTTCAACGGGGCCTTTTTGCGTGTAATGGTCATTGAAACAGTTTTTTTTGTAATTAAGAGTCATCTGCCACCTAGTACACCATGTTTGTATTTTTTCAAGTGACGCGTTTAAGACGGCCTGATCGTTATGGTTGCAGATTTCATTGTAAAGAACGCAGTCATCTGCGAAAAGTTTAATTTTTACCGGTATGTCATGTACAATATCGTTGATAAAAACGAGAAAGAAAAGTGGCCCGAGAACAGAGCCCTGTGGGACGCCCGAAAGTACTGGCGAGGCGACAGAACATGCGCCGTTAACGGCTACGCTCTGTTGCCTGTAGGAAAGGTATGATTTAATCCATGCCACTAAAGTTTCATTTTTCAAAATGGCCGTCAATTTACTCAGCAATTTTGAGTGCGACACACGGTCAAACGCCTTCTCAAAATCTAAGAATATGACGTCTACTTGCCCCCGTTTGTCCAGTGTTGCAGCGAAGTCGTGAACCGTTTCCAGAAGCTGAGTTACAGTGGACCGTCCCCGGCGGAAGCCATGCTGTCGGGCGTCCACAATGCAATTGCTCTCAAGATATTGTGAAATGTGCTTAAATATGATATGTTCGAGCGTTTTGACACATGTTGAGAGAATAGAAATCGGTCTGTATGACGATAAGTGAGAACGGTTTTCGTTACCTTTCGGTATTGGAGTGATTTTAGCATACACCCAATCCTCGGGAAGTTCAGAGCACTCGAGAGATTTGTTAAATAGTAAACACAAGTACTTCGCGCACCACTCAGCATATCTCACAAGAAAAGCGTTGGGTATGCCATCAACACTTGGGGACTTTTTAACATCTAGATGGAGCAGAAGGGAAAAGACACCTTCTTCATTGACACACACGTCACTGATAGGAGGCACTTCAATGAAAGAAGGAAATTGCGGGATGTTTCCATCGTCATCAGTAAACACTGAACAGAAATACCGGTTCAAAGCATCTGCAACATCTAGGCTGTCGTAAACAGGCTCATCGTCTACGTAAAGGCTGATAATAGTGTTCTTTTTCGGTACGAGATAACGCCAGAACTTGTCTGGAGACGAAATCATGAATTCTTTTAACGACACTTGCTGATAATGCTCTTTTTCTGTCTTAATTTTGTTTTTCAGTTGCATTCGCAAATCGTGCATACTATCAGAGGCAGCTATTGATGGGCGCTGCTTACATTGCTTTCTTTGCTTTTTTAGTTTTCGTCCCATGCGTACGATTTCTTTATTCATCCACGGATTATCCTGCCTCAGTACTTTCCTCCGAAAGGGTACAAATTTATTCATTGTGTCAAACACTACGCTTTTAAAGAAACCCCAGATGTGGTCAATCGAATATTCTTTTGATCCGTACATAGAAACAAATTCAGGAAACGAGCTGTCAAGCACATCAAGTATGTCTACATCACTAGCACGTGTGAAATCGGGTATTAGACGTTGTTCTTTTGTAGCTTGAAGCGGAGCGTTTAATTGCATAGTGAGGCAGGTGATTTTATGGTCCGATATATCTTGAAAAACCTCAACTTGGGGATTTCGTCGCATAATGCCGTTATTTACAAGGAACAGGTCTAAAACGGACTCAGCTTCATTTTGCACTCGGGTGGGTGTAGTAACCAGTTGTGTTAAACCATGAAGCACTACGCAGTCAACAAACGGCTCCGAACCAGCACTAAGGGCTTCAGGTACGTCGTTTTACCAGTCTACGGAAGGAAAATTAAAGTCACCCGCCAGGAGCATATTAGAGGGATGTTTGCCATAGAAGCACAAGAACTCGTTAAATATTTCGACAAACGTGTCGCAGCTAGGAGGGCGATAAAAGGCGCCAATAATGATGTGAAGTTCTTCAAATATTGCTTTAACGACGACACATTCTAGTCCATCCATATCGGGTAATCTGACTACACGTAAAGATTCTAAAAACAGAATAGCAACACCTCCCCCTCGAGAGCCTCTGTCCTTGCGGTATACCTTGAATCCGGGGGGTGTTATTTCAGAATCGCCAATATCACGGTGTAGCCAAGTTTCAGTTATTATCAAAATATGTGGTTTTTCGTGCGTCTTGTATTGCATCACCTTTCAACTTATCTCCCTGTGCGGGTAGTAGTGGCAGTTTACGAAGTGCGCGCCTTTGTGTTTGGTCTCTTTTCCTTTCTACATCAGCTTCACCATACACTGTAGCCTGAGCAACTGCTGTAGCTGAAGCGAGAGTGGCATGGGCTAAAAAAAATTGATCTTTCACAAATTTATAAACTGAATTCAAAATAAAAGTTTAATGACCTAATATAATTTACCAAGTCAAACGTAAAAGCGATAGTTTTTGCAAAAACTGACATTTTTCGAGTAGCACCTCCCCTTAGTGATATAGCGCAAGTTTTAACTGCAGTGCATATAATGATGGCGTAAAGTAATGAAATTTGATCAAAAATCAACTCGCTGCTGGTAAGGGCCAAAGCTACAATCATCAGATAATGCGTTCAATACTTTGCCAACTCAGCTATATACATATATCCAGATTAAAAGAGCAAGTTGAGGGGAGGTGCAATTCGAAAAAAAGAAAAGTTGCCTTAATCTGTAGCTTAGGTAAACGGAATTTTCATTATATATACATGCTTTTACGCCAATTTCAAATATGTAATTAGTTTTTTGGTAAGTTGCACCGTTTTTGTTATATGCTATGACTATGTGTAAAGTGTAACTTTTTTTGGACAAACTATTTACGGCACTAAGTTTCTATGGTTCTGAGCCATTAATAACTCATATTGCTCTACATTAAGTATATGATGCAAAAAACTATGAAAAAAGTGAGTGTAAGACATTTTAGTGGACAAAAAAAATTTAGTACGAAAAGTTTTTGAATCAGCCCTCACTAACAGTTAGGTTTGTTACAATTGTACTGGCAATACAGTTTAAAAAAATATGTGCACCCCTCACATTTTAAGGATTGTGTAGGCGAAATTTAATCTCAATTGGCTATCAGAAGTACCAAAAACATGATTTCTAAACTCAAGACGTTGCCCATAAGTGGATCATGAGAAAAACACATTTTAAAGTTGTAAGTGAAAGGTCGTCTATGCAGAAAATATATGTTATTTAAGATGATTTCCTCCGTCAAGAGAGCTTGGAAATCGTGGTTATTTTGAGCATATGGCTGTAGTGAACTCCTTGTACGAAATGCAATGGCAAGCAGCCAGGCGACTATTTCTATGGGAATCTAATAAGATTTTTTTTTTAGTTTTAGTAGTCAGCTTGTGCTTTTGAAAAAGAATTTTAACCTACTTCGAGTTTAATTCATTAACAATTGTCAGTTTTTTGTCGAGAAAGAAGATACGCAAAACTTGTGAAAGCAAATAAAAACTAAAATACGTAATTTTGAAAAAAAACTTATGCAGAATAAGCTTTGGAACACCGACTGATGCTGTATGGTGCACAGTGCTAAACAGGAAAACAAAGTGGGCTGGTATTGAAAAGAAGAAATGGTGACAGTCTATGAGCATGTTTTTTATAAGTGTAGATGAAAAAGCAACAACAAAAAGATAGACATCTGGTTGTTTTATATCAAACTATTAATAACATTAGGTTATGTTTTTCCAAGCCAGAAGCACTGCTGCCCTATATACGAGCATTTCAAGTATAGTATAGCGAAAGGGATGCATGCAGTTGAGAGGCAGCAAAGTGCATTCACAGAATGCACTCCGACTGCAACATACTCTTCTGGAAGCGACAATCAGCTTGCATCATTTATGTTTGGTAGACAGCACTTTGATTGAAGTGTGCTTCTTGTAGGTACACCAAACTTGCACACTTGACTCTGGTGTTACACTCGTTACATAGTACAAAGGACCTGCCATGTCATGACACAATGCATCATTTATTGAGACAATATCGAGATCAAATCGATTTTTTAAGTATTCACAAACAACAGTTTTTCAACAATGAAAACACTGCTCTTACTATGAGAGGATGCTATGAAAGCAAAAAAAGTGATGTACTTGACCTTTGCCTGCATAGAAAGATAATTGGTGCAAATTAATCTATATCTCACCTTTGCAATTGCCTATGCCATTGTTTCATGTCTTTACATGTTTCTTTGGTTTCCTTTTACAATTGTACAAAACCAGATCTGTTGTTTTAGAGATTTATAATATTGCTAATGTCTTTTTATAGTGACCACTTTTCAGTGAGCGAAACATGCTCTATGTGGCCAACTACATGTAGTACTACCAACAATGGAGGGTTATCTTTGTATTTTTTTCGTTAACAATACAAGTAACCTGATTTTGTGCTATTCTTATTAGGCTTCTTAAATTTAGCGCATAAAATGCTGCTGCCAGCCCCCACTGTCCAGAGCCACAATACTTACTGCTGTTCACCTTTTGTCAAAGTACGTACATATTTTTGCATATTATATTCTGGAATTTCACTTTTAAAAACTATAAGGAATCAAGCAGCATGGTGAAGGGCTTTATATTAATTTTTACCCCCTGGGGTAGTATCATATTTTTTACAATGAAAACACGTGGGCACAAAGGTACTGTGCCTGTTCACTGCTATGGTGTAGTGGTTACAGCGTTTGGCTGCTAACTTGAAGGTCGTGGGTGCGATCCTCGCAGTGGTAGTCCCATTCGGATGGACGTAAAACGCTAAAGACCCATGTGCGATGTTTGTACACCACCAAATGGTAAAAATTGCTTAGCCCTCCACTAAGGCATAGCTCATAATTATATTATGACATATGATTAATATTATTATAGTTGTTATACCTCGATGAAAATGTGGCTCCCTCAGCTCTCACTTAATTCCGCTGCCTCATGCTCAGTGCCAGAACACGTTAGCTGTCCGAGCCAGTGCACCATGTGGGAATATGTTGTTGTGTAGAGAACTTCAATTTCTCAATGTGTATGAGTGACAGCAAGCTTGCATTTTATTTTGCTAAGTTACTTTCAGTAATTTTTGCCGTCTCTGACAATTTTTTTGTGAATGGCATGTGTGTAGCTGGAAAATAGCATTTTATAAAGGCGTTTACTTTTTTTGCATTTGCCTAAAGGAAACCTCCTAATTTAACAGGTCACCTTCAAAGCAACACGAAGATGTCAGGGCAGCAGTTGAAGACATGGATGGGCACGACTCTACTGAATATAACAGTCCCTAGGAGCGTGTCATGTACTGTTTTGTTATATCACAGCTTCTCTCTTTTGTACTATCTGCCGAACTTGTCAATACATATTTCTTCAATGCTCTGTTCCAGTTTATATGTAAACCTAAACATGCTTATGTATGTATGCAATATCTAGTCACAGTGTGCAATGTACGTGTTTTCTGCTTTGTTCTTGAATAAAAAAAGAATGTATGCAACACCTTTGGCTCAGTGTTTCTCTACCACAAGAGGACGCTCAGCATTATATGTCGCCAAATGTCAACTTTCGTTTAATGCAAGTGTTGCGATATCAGATGTTCAAATCACGCATAAATTTTTCTATGCGTATAGGTGCTAATTTGATTAGTTTTTTTCACAAATGCACTTTGGTAAAAAAATTTGTTTGAGTCTAATTTCAGTAATTTCAGTGCATGCCGAGAAAAACTAATGAAATTAGCATCTGAAAGCACAGGAAAGCGTATTCATGATTTCAACTTTTGAAATTGCAACTTCAGAGAGCAAAAAAAGAAATAAAGACTATAGCAGACTGCTTTTAGTAAACACCCTGAATAAACGACACCCCTTAATCTCTCTGTCATGTACACAGTGTCCCCTTCGGGACTTGCGTGGGTCTTTCAAGAGTTGACCCTGGGTTCAGAAATGAGTGGCCAAATTGACCTGCAAGGGATGAAGAGATGTTCGCCAGTGTTGTTTTGGAAATGCAGTGGATATCAGATATCCAGTCAGGGGCGTCCTGTGGACGTCACTAAGATGCGATTGTTGTCACTCGGAGCAACTGGTTTGTTATTGAAAATTTGCCCTACATATATACATTGCTTAATTGGCCATGTGACAATTTCAGTGCACTAACAAATTTAGGAATTCCATTTCTTTCTCTGACAACGCTTTCATGGTTTGCTGACACTTTTCACCCCTTAGACGATTATGGTGTTTCCTCGATCATTTCTCGAGTGCATTTATCTGGTGGCTGATCAGGATACAGCTTCAATAGGTGAACAACCACAGTCCTTACAGTTTGTGGACAGGTGTCTATCTCTGTATCGAGCAAAATTTATTTTGTTTCCTTAAATGATCATTGATTCATCGTCCCATTTGGCAGATGTATTTTCTGTCACAAGTCAGTGTAAACTGTTGACCACCTTTTCTGCGCATGGCACGAAATGATCTTGGTGCTTTTTCTGGCACCCTTCCGGCTTTCTTGTGGCTGGATAGGTGAACTTACAGAGGCAGCTTATAGTTGATCGGGTGCTGAAATTACCACCTTTGTGTCAACCTAAAACTTTCGTCACCCCGTGAGAGATCTTGTGTATATACGGGATTACTGCCACCATCTCCGTTTTCCTGGTAGTGGTGGCATGTTCATCATTCGGGTAGCGAACTTTCGTGAGAACACTGCTCGCAACGGAGACGAGAATCTGCGTTGAGTATCCTGCCAAGCCCAGCTGTGCTGCTTGTTTTTGCAGTCTAGTTGCCACCGTGCGAACTCATTATTTCCAGACGGCAGCATTGAAAAGCATCAAAATTTCCTCAGCATTAAGAAGCATCAGAATGAACATATAATATAGTGCAAAAATATATTGACATAAACTTAATATTTCTTGACTGAGAAGCACTGTTTGGTACATCATAGAATTTACCATAACTTTACAAGCACTTGAAAAACATCATTGCAGCATGTGAAGAGATCAGCCTGTTAAAGCATAACTAGAAAGATGTAGAGTTCTCTAAGTAGGGACATAGCACTAGAACATAAACAGGAAACTTGGGAATTTATACAAATTGCATCACATAGTAATTTGGTGAAGTTCCGGTAGGTTTACAAGGCAGTACACATAAAAACTAACAACATGCATTGATATTATTGTGGGGGCTTCTCCATATCAAACACTTTCTGGGACAGTTCACTGATTTCTAACTCCAGAGAAATTTCTTCGTCCATCAACTCTTCGAGATAATATGACACCATGTCGCACTGCACTTCTTGGTCAAATTTGTCCGTAGTGTACTGAACCTCCTTTTCGGAGCGGTTGGACTCTGAACATAGATTTTCACATGGCGCCTGAAATACCTTTTCGAGGATGCTCTCCCCACTACCGTTCTCACCAATGACATAATCAGCTGAGAAGAGGCCTTCGCAGGGAGAACTGCAGATGGAACTGTTGATTGCTTCAGTGTCACCGGGGCCGCAGTCAGTGAATGGTAGCTCAATCATAGCGCCAACAACAGGCACTTGAAAGTCAGTAATGTCTTCCACAGTCTCAACGGCAGCGTCATCTTCATGCTCTAGTCCTTCGGCGTCGCGTGCCAGTGATAGTCCCGGCGCCAGTATGACTCCTTCGTGAGCGCTGCCGCTGGTCGTGGTGAAGATTTCAAAAGCAATGGACTCCCCGATGACGCCGGCTGCTGCGTCGTTCTCTGGGTACTCGGACGCCACGTCAACCTGATCCGCCGCGCCAAGGACTACGCAATCGGTCGGCGTGCTCGCGGGCACATCATCGATAGCGTCATCGGATGCATCTTGTAAGTGTTCCAACAAGGAGTTCATTTCATTCGGACTCCTTTCAGGCATCCCATCAACGCAGCGTGCGTCCGTATCCTGCTGCTCGTCGTGCTCTTTTATGTGAGAGGCGTTAGACCAGGGCATCTGCGGCTGCGGCGCATCCACGGCCTTTTTCAGCTCTCCCCGTTCATGCTCAGAATGATTGCCATATTCGCCTCTGCCTCCGGCAACGTCATTTGTGTTCACGGCTGACAAAGACGGTTGTTTTCTCAAAAGCACGTAGTCCAGCAAACCAGACACCTCATTCAGTGTAGTTACTCCACAAATAATCTTTTTAAAAAAGTTCTCAATTTCCTTCGCTTGCACGTATTGATTGCACGAGGATTGTAATGTACGAGCTATCGAGTCCCACAGCGACCGCTGGCTGCAGTTGCCCCGTCGCCTGCCACCAGCCGCTGCGTTTTGTCGTATAACGACCACCTTATTGGCCACGTGCCGATCGTAGAGTGATCTCAGGACGACCCGATCTTCGTGGGGCCAGGACGAAAAGAAGAAGTTTTGAATACAGCTATGGTGGCTAACAGAGCCAACACAGCCGCGAGAGGCCTTGCGTCGGGAGCGGCGTCGCCGGGAGTGTGCCATGCTGGCCACGTACCTTATTGTGCTGCACCAGCACAATCACGGCTGCGAAAATGAACAATGGCGGCTGCGAAAACGAAGACCGTGAATATAGGCCGAAGATTTTGATGATGATAATATGTAACTACCGTTGGCCATGGAGGAAAGAAAAAGAAAGTCACAGTTTCGCCGAAAGGGCGAAGCAATGAATGCGATAGCAATATAATCGAATGTTTTACGAAGCAAGGCTAGCATTTTCAGGAACAATAGTAATTGTAGTAAACATGCGCTAGCTAAGAAACCAGGTTTCCTGCAGCGCGGCCACGGCCACAATGAGGCTCGTGCGTAGTGACGGCGCTGATGAAAAGCGCCCCCCGTGGGCAGCGCATACTGGTAGTAAAGGCTACATATATGCCGTTATTCGCCGCTGGTGGCAGTTTGTTATGTGTATGGCGCATTTATATGTGGACGGCCGCTCCAGGTACACTTTTTGCACCGTTTTTCGTGTGGAGAACGCAGCCCCTAGAGGCTTCCGCTTGCTGTGGGGGCAAGAGCCCTGCGCTAATCGTTGCCGCGTGTCAGGGATGACAAGTGAAAAAGAATGAATTGCACGCGGGGACGCCTTATTGGACGAGAGCACGCAGAGGAGAAGAAGACGGGGAATGATCAAGGCAGCCTTGGTCCGGCCCAGGACTGCAACGCGTCGAGAGCCACTCTAGTTGCCTCTTCGGCGAGCTGCTGTCTTTGTCGTCCAGCCTATCGAGGCAGCCTGGGTCCTGCCCCAGGACTGCTACGCGTCGATAGCCGCCCGAGTGTCCACCTCGGCAAGATAATGTCTTTGTGCTCTGGTCGTCCAGCTGGCGTGCGGTGCAGCGAGTGGCCGGGACAAATCAGCGTCACGCCGCCGATCTGCAACAAGCCCGGGCTCGCAGACACTTGTCTGCTACGTCAGCGGCACACGGACCTGGGAGGCTGGGTGTGCCAGGAGTGCCTAGCGGCACGCGCGTCTCCTCGGCATGGACGGGCTTCACCAGGAAGGCGCCTCCCAACATCGCTGCTGAGTGACACACCAAGCGGCGACCTTCAGACAGCGTCGGACTGTGCGTAAGCCACCGACAGATGTTAGTTAGACGTAGGTAGAGGGACCGAATTGTTTTAGGGGCGAAGCTCTTTAAAGCAGCATCCGTTCGTCCATCATCGTAGTCGTAGTGCGTAACCAGTCTTACGCTTTGACCTGCAAGGTGGTGCCGGTGGGAGATTTCTCCTGTGCGTTGTTGAACGATAAAGAATTCCCAGCGTGCGCGTTAACTGAAAGCAGAATTTCCCTGTCTCTCATTCCCAATTAGCAGCCATTGGCATGCACATTGAGCACTATCTGACAAGAAAGGGTTGCTAGGTTATACTCGCTGGGCGTAACCGCCATGGTTTTAGAAAAGTTTAGCGAGCGTTGGGCCGCAGTGCCATGAATACAGTGAACTAGTATATACCATGAACTCGAGGTGGTTAAAGGTGGGAAGTAGACACGCAGCGCAAGCCGTAAGAAAAGTGTGCGTATGCCACCTCACATTTAGTCCTTGGAATGTCCGCTGGATGGCGGTGCTTCTATATGCTGAATATATGATAAAAAGATGCGAGAAGGTGGTACTTGGAGTGTTGACTAGATGGACGAACGGACACGCAGACAGATGCATGGACGGACGCGCGGATGGCTGCACGGATGGATGGACGCATGGACGGATGCATGGACGAACGCAGGGACGGATGCACGAATGGACGAACGAACAGATTGGTGGGTGGACGCATGGACGGTCACACAGACGGACGCATATATGATGAAAAGATGCGAGATGGTGGTACTTGAAGTGTTGACTAGATGGACGAATGGACACACAGACAGGTTCATGGACGGACGCACAGATGTCTGCACGGACGGATGGACGCTTGGACGGACGCAGGGGTGGATGCATGGACGAACGCAGGGACGGACGCATGGATGGACGTGCGGACACACGAACAGACGCACGCACGGATGGGCGGATGGAAGCACGGACGGTCACACAGATGGACGCATGGAAGGAC